AACCTCTTTTGACACTCTTCCTCCCATGCAGCTGGATGGAGGACTCCATTGCCAGCAGCATCGACAGGTTGCAGGGAAGGGTCTCTCGCTCGCTCTCTGCCTCTCGCTCACCCCAACAGGGGAAAAAAGAAGCACTGGGGATGGAGGGGGTTGGGTGGGGGGGGGTGGAGGGGTTGTGCGGTGGAGGCTGCCCCTCTTTCTCACGCTCGTAAGAAAGCCCTCACTTCTTCTCCATGGTGAGTGACACCTGCTGATTACCATAGAGACACTGTGGGAAGTCCGCCCCCTCCCTCGCCCCACTGGGGCTGAGATTTGCCCCCTCTCCCTGGGTAAACAAGCAGTCCATGGATTAGTTAACTGGGTTACTGCATGGCAAACAAATAAACACACATTATTTAGAGCAAATTAGTGCCAATGAACCCTCGATGACCACTGGAGGATCAAACGCCCTCCAACAACCGAGGAGTTACCCCAGAGGACGCCATTCCTTCTGGAGACAGCTGTGCAAAATCGCCACGGACGATTCGAAAAGTGGCCTAAACCTTTCTGCATCCCGCTCGTCTGCCCCCCGCCCTGCCCAAACTAGAGAGACGTCCCAGTGATGTGATTGATGTCGGAGCTTCGCCGCCCGCCCACCCCCCTTCTTTTTTCGCTGGTCCATAGCCGCTTCCGCCATGGGCCCGAGTTGTCAGCAGGGTCATTATCCTAGCAACAGGGTGGTGGAGCAGTGGGTGAGGAGTGTGCGCTGGAAGTGAGGGGGGGAAGAGGGGGGGGGGGGAGCCGGAGAGAAAGGAGGGGACTCAGAAGAGACGAGGAAGAATGCGGGATCGAGAAGGAAGAGAGCCAGAGGAAGGACGGAGGACGGATAGGGGGCAGGCGAGGCAACGACGGAGACAAAGAGGGGAAGAGAGCAGGCGGACTTTACACAGCAAAGTAAGCACACAGCAGGCGTGCGATGGATGTGCCCCCCCCAGCCCCCCGCAAGCCAGCCCGCCAACAGCTGCACCCCAGTAATTTACTTCTCTCCACCACATTTAGCAGAAAGACTGCTCCCCATTACCCCGAGCGGGGGTCCGCGCCGCAGGCCAGACACCCGGCCAGAGTAGCCGGCTCCCCGGTGTGACACCCTCTGCTGCCGGACCCCCGCCCACATCCGGGCGGGATCAACTCGGCACTGCTCGAGTTATGTCGTTTAGTTATTTGAAAAAAGTTGTACATGTCAGAAGACTGAAATTAACAACCACAGAATTGTACGCACAGCAGTTCTCGATCATTTCTGATGAAATATTGGCTGAAGGGAGTTGTATTTTGTGACTTTTTAGTCATTGGACATCAGTTATAAATCTGTTAAAATATGTAGTCTCATTAAATGTGTTCCTTAACAAATAAAAAAGATGCACAATACATTTATGTATGCATTTTAAACTACATAAATAATCACATTACTTAAGTAGTATAAAAAGGTTACTATCCACGTGCTAGAAGACAAACATTTTGGGATTCACTTAAAAAAAAGTTACTTTACGAGACTTGTTTGTTACGTGTAAACGCCTCACAATACAAGCATATATTTGCAGATTGGAGGAGGCGTAGCTCCAGTTCTGCAGTACTTGCGGTATGCGTGTGTGTGGCCATAATGAGGGGATGTGTAGGAGCAGCCGAGCTGGCAGCCAGTCAGCATTGCAGCATCATGAGACATTCTTAATCAGGTGGGCCCGCTCCTTTGAAGAGCGTTTAACTGTGCAGGGAACGCCACATTCCCCAACTGAGATCACAAATACAGAAAATGAGCACCCCTGCGTGTTCTAATTCCTGCGCCGTGTCTCATGCAATTTCCCGGACCACCGACAAAGGTTTCGCTCATGGCCGTCCTTCAGCCGCATGACCAGCACAGGAGCCAATCAGCCGGCGAGCTCCGAAACCAGGAGAGGCCGCGTGTGGCATGTCGCACACAGCATCCACCCGCTCCCCGAAGAGGCCGAAGGGGTCACCGAGCAATGTTCTGGGAACATCACAAAGACGCTGGTCAACTTCTGTCTCGCTCGCTCTCTACCGCTGTCCCCTCCGCCGCCCTTCCCCCCCCCCCCCTTTCTCCCCCTCCTCTCATGAGCCGGAGCCAGCCGAGCGAGATGCCCGAATCCCACAGTTGACGCGGCCTTCGTTAGCCTAACGAAAAGGGGCCGACTCTTTATCCTCGTCAGGGAGCAAATGAGTCAAACAAACAAGGGCCGGTGGCGGAGGGGAGGACAAGCGGGCGCTGTTCTGTCGAGCTCGACTGGGCTCTTGGCCGCAGCACTTCCCTGGAAACTGGGGAACCCACAATCTGCCTCTTTGATGTCTGACGACGCTCGGGCTTTGATGGAAACTTTGGGGGAAAAACACACAGTGGCGGAAAAGAAATAACATGCCGCTCGGTCTCTGTGGCCACTAGAGGCCGCAGGCACAGTCGGAGTGTGTGGGTGCAGCCTGCGAACGGCCTGAAAGGGAAGTGCCATTTGGGGACGCATAACAACTGGTTATGATAGTAACAGGGTTACAGTGTCTTTGCAAGCCTGTACTTGTGATGCGGTTCACTGCATCACGGCACCGGGTGATGTCCCGCTGGCAGCATGACCTTTGAAGAAATCCGCTTCACGCCGGCCGTCCACACACACACACACTTGACGTTTAGGCTTGCGTTCCCAAAAAAAGTGTCCCTCCAAAACAAGCGTCCCGACAAGTCATCCCGGGCAGCGTCCACAGTCCAGACACATTACGGCAGCAGAGTGCTTAGCGAGGATGAAGGTGCGTCCTGCAGAATGACATCATTTCACTGAGCCCGTCTGGAACAAACGTGCAGAGCACCTCAAGGCCGAGAATCCACAGCTCTAATGACAGATTAGCTCCCCTGGAGGTGTGTGTGGGGGGGGTACTGAGGCCCAAAGCTTGCTCTACTTTCATTGAGGAGCCTGCAGGGAGCTTCCACGCGCACGTTTTGCATGAATAAATCGGCGCGAGTGACACGGGTGCGTGCGGTTGACGTGTCCAAGCTGCTGTGCGCCGCGCAAACCCGCCGTGAAATCCATCGCACCGTTAAAAACGGGCATCGCCGGAGGAGAAGGCCACGTGGGAATGCACTTCGGTGCTCGCCTGGTGTCCGCGGAACACACACACCCGCACAAAATGTTGATGGAAACACGGAGGGCCGTCTTTTGTGAAAGCATGAAATTGGTGTTTTGAGTGCACACATGGGAGTAATGAGCACGCTCAACACACTTGGAAGCGGCGCAAGCCGTTCATTACGACGCCCACGCGGAGATGTGAGTCACTTGGGTGGCGCCACCGCACAACGAAGCCACACTCGACTGGCTAAAGGTGACGGACAGCGAGTCCGTCCTACGGCAGGTTCACCTCCTGTGCGGCGGCTCGGGGGGGGGGGGGGGGGGGGGGGAAAATGAACCCAAACCTAAAAGCCTCTCTGTCAAGGAGGGGGGGGGGCCCCCCCACATCCGAACACCCAGAGGCTGGGGGGGAAATTTTCCAGGGCACAGGTGCTGGGGTGGGAAAACATGCCAACTCCCTGCTCCTGAAGGGGTGTTTATTTAGGGGGGGGGTGTGTGTATATGCGTGTTATAAAAAAAAGGGGGTCAATGAAAAAACTGTTCTGCCACGTTTCCACTACTCTTAAGGGTACATTTTACACTGTACATACAGAGGATTCCCTTTTTAAATTGGGGCGGGTTTACCGCCAAAAATGGGAAAAAGAGAACCAACACCCGGGAATATGCTGGCAGAAAACCCCATAACTAAAAGGTTACATTTTTGCCTCCCTCCCTGTGGCCCCCCCGGTATAAATCCCGGCCCCGGGCTCATGCCAAAAAAAAAATGACAGAATGAGGGACATCTCTGGGTGTCGTCTCAAAAATACCCCGTTTGGCCCCGAAGCTACACAAGAATTTTGTGGGATTATCCCCATTTTCTCCCGGTTTCTCCCCCGGGGCTTTCCCAAATTGCCCTCTAAAACCACCCACTTTTCTTTCCGTCCCCTCCCTGAGGGGCTTTTTCGCCCCCCCCCCCCCCCCCCCTTAAAGAGTGCCTAGATCTCTACTTGTTACCTGCTCTCATCACCTTGTCCCCTGAGTCAGAGACCTTCCTCTATTCCAGCGAAAACCTGAACCTGGTTCCTTGGCCCGAGAGCCTTCGGTGCTTTTGGAAAAGTTCATTATCCTATTTTGCCCCTGGTGGTGGAGGGGGGGGGGCTGCGTGAGGCAGCTGCAGTTGGAGGCAGAGTCAGTATGCACACATAAAGCTGCTCAAAGCCAGCAGGTATGTGAGGAATGCTTCTTCGTCCAAACAACAGGACTCCCGGCCGACCCAGAGCCGCGGCGCGCGGCACCGTCGGAGCGGCTAAATGGGGCCCGCCGGGGACTCTGCACGCGGGACGGCGCTTTGGCTCCGATCTTATGCGTAAAACCCGTTTAAATACAGCTACTCGAGGGACTCGTCGGCCTGCCAAGTGTCATTCAGTTCAGGCATTTCTGCAGTATTAAGAAAACAAATCTGTCAGTCGTGCACTATAGTAAACACTTGCTAATCCAAGTACCTCAGGAATGAAGGTACTGTGGATTTGGGAAATACTTGAACCATTAGAGAGAAAATAAACATTTACAAAGTGTACACCAGTTATGCCCCAAGACGCGATGTAGATGTAGAGTACATAATAAACAGCCGTGTGATCAAACAAAGTACTTGTTTTGCAGTTAAAAAAAAAGAAGCTATATACACCCACACATGCACAAACAGGGGATTTTAAAATATTTGTTCTTTACCAACTTGGTAAAACAGCAAGAGTCCACAGTCGAGGTATCTAGAACATTGAAGTGATGACAACTACAGTATATTATAAGTTTATTTCATTTGTTCAAGAAAATAAACCACGTAGCGCAATCTGCGGATTTTGAAACAATCGGAATCTCTTTGCAAATAAAAAAATCTGATCCAAACTTCATCTGGGAATTTACCTCTTTTATGCAGCCACCCCTCCTTGACAATCACCACACTGGTCATGTTGGTGGGCAGGGTGGAGGATCCAGGTTTCCCGCAGGGAGAGACGCAGCTTTGTTTCCTTCACTCGGCTCTGCGCAGGAGCCTGGAGACGAGGTCCCGGGGTTTACAGAAGCCCTTCAATGGCGGTTACCTATTAGGTGAAGAGGAGTAAAAATTAGCCAAATATTGGAGGTGGAAGATTTTTTTCTCCCCCCACTCGTCTGAATATTAACCCTGGGGTTAACGCAGTAGAGGAGAGGCGGTGGAATGGAGAGGGACGCCGCGTCTTTTACGGGGATGTGCAGAAACCACAGCGGGCTCCCTTTCACATGTGGAAGCAGCGACATCGCAGGGTTCAAATATCCGTGCACGGCCGGGATTTTTTGGGCTTTGACAATAAAAAGGTCCCCCCCCCCCCTCCTATTGGAAAATTCCATACAGTTCGCAACCACACCATAATTCGGACACTGGCTGCAAAAAGCTGCCCTCTGTATTCACACCCGATGCGTAGTGGTACCTTTACAGAAACGTCACGCTGCCATGGCCACCTGTCAGGGCGACAACGCGCGCAGCGACTCACGCGGGAACCGGGCATGAAACTGCGGTCACATCTAGGTCGAAAAATGGGACACTGGTTGTAGAACGTGTAGCGGTCAGAAGTAAAAGGAGTGGAGCATAACAACTAAACATGGAATAACAAAAAGAATAGGATTGGATTGTCAGTCATTAGATAGTCAGTGGTTTGAATTCCATCACAGATTTATCAGTTCATCAACATTGTATACGAAAAAAACCTGCAGGCTATCATAACCAAACACTTGATCTTTTGATTTATTCAGTGCTTCTTTTTACTACATAAAAGGCGGCTTTGAATGCAGGGCAGTAGCAAAATGATCAATTACCACGCCTGTTCACGCAAATGTCACATACTGCACCGGGCAATCAGCGAGCATCAACTGAAATCAATTTCCCCGCTGCTGCTCAGTCGGAGTAATGCCATCAAAAGAGAGCTCTGTTTGAGTGGCCTCATCTAGACGACTGGTGGGGACAACAACAGGAAGTGGATGTGACTATTGACAGACTTGAGTCATATCAGTACAGCCCCGGGCTCAAATACATCTGAATGCGCGACCGACGCGCCTTTTGCTGCCGTTCAGCTCGCTCCCATCAATGAGCCAAAGACAGTTTGTGAAAGCACGGTTTATTTTTTGCTCAGTGTTTTTGTTTATTGCACCGGGGTTGTGGTGCTTGTGTCACACAGTCGATGTTGGGAGGATCTTGGAGAGAGATTTAAAAAAAAAAAAAAAAAAAGCACAGTGAGTACTATTCAAACTTGGGATCACACAAACCGTTGGATCTCTCCGGCATCTCAGTGTGTCCTCTGTGACACAGGCACGCACACGTAATATATATATATATATATATATATATATCGGGATACATCACACAAATAAACTTGAGCGCGCACACACACACCCACACACCACAGCCAAAAAGGCAAAACATGCACAAGACCGGCTCTGGAGCCACAACAGAGTGCTGCTGTTTTAATGGGAGCGACCTGTTGCTACTGCGGCCCGTGTGGAAAAGCTGGGCCGCTGCCAGCGCTGCAGCTAGCAGCCACTGAATGAACCCAGTACCCTGACAGCGGGTCACATGGTTCCTCGGGCCTCTGGGCCACCGCCTGCCTGCCTGCAGCGATGCTTTCGATCGTTCAACTTTCTGACTCTCGGGGGCCACACCGCTCGGTGCACATCAGGCGCATGCGGCAAAGATGCCGCGCTCGGAGCCAGTCACTGCGCCGCAAAAAAAAACAAAAAACAGTCCCGCGTGTGCACGGCAGGAAGCAGAAAATCAGGCCAACATCCCCACCGCCGCGCTACTTCCTCCAATCGCAGATCGATAGATACAAATCTGGTTTTGCTCAGTTATCCGCGAGAGTCGGCAGCTGGATTTGGTTTAGGACGATAGAACATTACACTCAAATGTTAAAAAAAAAAAAAAAAACAGACGACGAAATGAGAACATTGAATTTGCTCACCTGCCACTGAAAAAAAAATAAAATAAAAAAAAAAACACCTCCCAAGTGACACTTTGTTTGAGTAAAACCAGTATGAATGTAGGTTTCAGTAATGAAAGCAGTACTAGTGTGATCTACTTCAGTGCGAAGTTCCTCTATCAAGTTCCCTGAAAACACATCGCTAATGACAAGAATAGAGGGGAGACGAGGCCCAATAACAAACCACAACTACTGTAATCTTGACAGCCCAGTACACTCACAGCTTTCATCTCGAGATGACATGAGCAGCACTCTTTATGACTCATATAGATAATGTATTTATTGTCGCACTGCTGAGAAAAGCCATTAATATTCATTCATAGATATACAAACCGATTGTCCTTCAAAAACAAAAAGCTATCCTGGTACATGTGGTGGAAATTCCCCGACAGTACACATTTGGTTTGCTGCAAACCAAATGACCAGGCCCAACAAGATGAATGAAGAAGAAAAGCATGTAAGGCAGCACTGTTCTCGGTGTGTGTGACACACCAGCGCAGTCATGTGATGCTAATGGTGGTCTACCACCAGTCGACGGAGTGTCCTTCCCAGAGAGATAATGCATCTAATCTCCTGTGGCGCACAACAATAAGTTTGCCTGTGTGCAGAGGCAAAAATCATGAGCAACATTCCCCAGATTCTGCATGCAACTGGTGGCGAATTTGCGTCAAAGGGGCTTCGAGGGGAAGCGGGTGTGTTGTGGCTGGCATTGTCCAAAGGGGAACAGGCAGAGCCATCGGCTGCATCATCACGCCGGCTTGTTGCGTCTTCACCGGGTCACATGTCGAGTCCCCCTGCACAGTCTCATGACCGGTGGAAACATTCTGACGTTAGAAGGCGTTACGGTACAACATGCCATGGGGGGGGGGGGGGGGGGGGGGGGGGGGAAGGCACCTTCTTGACTGAATCCCCTGTCATAAACAATGATTTAGTGAAGAGATGCATAACGGTCATCACGGTAGGTGGGATGTCAACAGTGGAGGACAGCAGAACACCCGCATGGACTTTGCAATTACACTGATTAGAAGACAGGCACATATGAATACAGCTCTATTGTACCCGTCCTTTGAGGCCTACCTGGTGAGCAAACCGGACCTTAAAAAAAAAAAAAGACCACAAGACCGCTACAGTCACAACAAAGATGTACTACAGCGTGTACCTGAACGCACCAACGGAGCAGCAACAAGCTAGCAGCGCTAACGGGTGACCGTGCAGTCGGGTCGTAAACGTCTCACTTTAAAAAGCAGTAAACAAACGCGGCGGTGGCTCATAACAATGAATGAGTTACTCTCTCGTTGAGCTTATCGGGTTTTCATTTCGTCTGCCCGGGGTCACGGAGTACACGCGAAAACAAAACTTTATCGTAGAGGTGAAACCGTTTTTAAAAGTAACGTGACTGCAGATATATGACTATTTTTTGTTGGGGCCCGATGGGGGAGCGTGTAAGAAAAACAATGTTGTTTTTTTACAATGAATGGCAGAACTGGTAAAAGAGACTCGCTGTTCGTAGACAAACAAACGGAACACGCCGAGACGTTCGTACGACTTCGCGGCCGAATAAGTTCCACGGCGAGAAGTCGGGAAAAGTGCCTCGTTTTCAGGTCTGCGTTCGGCGACAGGGAGGATATGGGGCCTAGCAGGGCAGCTCGGGTGAGAATAACCGCATCCCATGTTAAGTACAATGGGGACCTACCCTGTCTAGCTGTCGACCTCTTGTAGTTAACCGTGCGAAAGGAAAAGGCGGACGTTTTACCTGGACGGGAATTCAACCGCGTGTCCGTCTCATTATAGTGAGCTGTTTCGGCGGCGTATTGAGTCGATAAGTCCTTCAACAATCTGGACAAAAGTGCTCTCATTTACTCCGTTTCTTTGCCTTTCTTTCCACTACACCTCCCGAACGCGCTGTCTGCAGTGCCCGTGTGGCGGCCGGCTCTCCCGGGTCCTAGAGCCGGCCGACTTTATGGGCCCACCTCGCAGGAGGAGTGGTAGGCTGTCAGCCTGTCCCGTTGCGCTGTTTTCTGCTGGGGCTTGTTAAGGGGCCGCGCGGCCTCGCTGAACTGTGCGTTGTATTACCGGTGCCGTTGTTTTGCAAGATCTGGTCCGTGGGAGGTGAGGGGCTGAGGGAGGGGGTGTTGGTTCTACGGAGGCCCCTCTGTAAGATTTGAAGGGGGGTTCCCAGTACAATGAGGGGTATCTTGTTGTTGTTTTTTTCACTTCCTGAAACAATCACGCGAGAAAACGCGCAAGTTGGACCGGCTGTTCATTGGTAATTTTGCATGGCCACCTGGTGAAAAGAAAGACAGTTGCAAAGCAGCAACCGATTTTTATTTGTAATTTGGTCCATATACAAACAATGATAAACGTTACTACAATAAAAGACCAAGACCAGGAAATATTCACATTTGAGGAGCTGGAAGCAGAAATGTTGAAATCCTTTCTGCATGAGGCTGTATACCGTTTATAATGCACTTAAAATGATATTAAGACTTAAAATAATCAAAAGTCCTTTAATCTTTTAGAATTTAATCACGTAAAAGCAGTGATGTAAAAATACTACAAGCTGCGGAAATGCTTAAAACTGTATACTATACACAGATACAGAATGATAAAATAACACTTCATTTAGATAAAAAAAGTGAATCACCCTGTACCCCCTGCGCATGTCCTTTTGGGCTTTTACCCTTTCAACGCTTTACTTGTGGGGCAAAGAACTTTTTGAGAAACAAGTACACATTTTGAAACAAAATCTGTCCTTTTGAACTGAGGAAGGAGGCTGGTCAGAGCAAAGTTGTCCTGTCTTGCAGTTTGTCAACACTCACATTGCTGCTCCCGCAGGACCTGGTGTTATTGCTTAAAATTGCTGCTTCTCCGTACTCGTGTGTCCAAGCCAGTTGATTTACGGCTCATTTCTAGACATGAACGTTGCAGTCACCCTGCTGGAGAGTTGCTGCTGTGAAAAGGGCCCTTGACATTTCCACTAAAGGACCATCAGCCATGCCTTTAAGTTGCGGTTCTTTTAGATTTCTTATTTTGTGGCAAGCGATCAATCCTCCCGAAAGCACTTTTACAGCCAGTGTTTCTTGAAGCTTCCCAGCACAAGTTCTGCAGCCGCTTCCCAACTGCATCACGCGGTCTTCATCGGCCGATGGAGTGAAATCCCAACCAATGCTAAGCTTGCAGTCATGTTCGTGACAAAGGCTTCACCTACTGATAACGACTGGGTGAAAGAGAGCCAGCAAGTGGGACTTTATTTGTTTTGTCAAAGCGCCGCGGTAAGGCTTGATATTTAAGTGTGTCATCAGTTGTGTCAACAGGAAACGCACACCGATACGATTACAGACATCGGCAGAGATAAGATCTTGCCACTTGTCCTGATAAAACATCAAAGTAAAAATCTAAAAGCATTGAAAATGTATATGTGTGGTTATATCAGATTAGACGCCTGCTTGTTATATCACATTATGTCATCTACAGCAATAAAAAACAAACTGTCTTCCAGAGAGGTAGGAGTTAAACCAGTTTGGAACAAGTACAGGCAGGCCAGTTCAAGTCAGCAATCCTTTGTGTGATATATCTTCAAATTCCCATTAGAATATACAGAAACCCTCTCTCAGTACTTTCTTATGATATTACTGTAACTTTGCTCAGTTGTTCTCGGGCTATTTTTGCAGCTTCATTTCTTGTAAAGACACATTTTTATCTGTACGCGCGACATTATCTTCTTCATCGGCTTCGGTGCAAGTGAACTACACACGATGCTTTTGAAATGGTTGGGAAATGATCCGATAAATAATGTCCCAAGAATGAGATCGCAGGGACGGCGGCCAACGTTCCCTCTGTGGTGAAAGCATTGGCCTCTGCCCTCCGTCTCTCGGCCCTCTTCTGTTGTCGTTTACACTGCGACGCGTTCCTCGATGCCAATGTGTCGGCCTTTCCAAGCTGTTCCTGTCATACCAACAGTGCTGAGTGAGATTATGCCGTATTTTCTGCTGCTGCTGTTAAGTGGTGCCGCCCTCCTCCGCCTCCTCTTCCTCCTCCTCCTCCTCTCCGGTCCGGTGATGCCTCCCCTGTTGTTTGGGCAGGTAAGATCACAGCGTCAAAGTGAGCTAATAGTGTCCTGCGGCGTCACGGACTCAGCTGCCTCATCTCCTTCTTTGCCGGCTTTCAGTATCTGTTGGGAGGGAATAACAGAACAGAAGAGAAGTTAATGGGCTGTTGAAGGAGAGCAGATAACATGCTGCAGCAACAATTAGACACAGAAGGGCAGGAGGGCCATAAGAGGGAGGAAGGTGGGTGGGGGGTCCGACCAATACGGCATCTCTCAACGGCAGTGCGATGTTGCTACAACTGTCGCATTACTTTTCTGGGATGTCCACCTGTTGTGCAGCTTCGCCCGCAGTGCCGAAGATCCAGGATTCAAAGATTTGATGCGCGGAGAATTTGTTTTTTCCGTATGATGGATTTCCCAGCTCGACTCAAATTGAGTCAACTTTGTTTATGAAGCCCAACATATTTCCAATCTGCACAAGATGTGCCATCTTTATACCCTACATTTAGATAATTGTATGTTTTTCAAATAAAATATTTTGAAAATCTGTCAAAATGTGTTACTTTGGCTAAAGTCTGTTGCAGTGTGCAAAATCTGTATATTTATCCAAAAAGCCTATAAAGTACAAAATATATATGTACCAGTGTATAGTTGTATGACTTAGCTAATAATAATAATAATGGGTGAGTTGTGTGTGTGTCCACAGACATCTAAAGCACAACTCAAGCCCCCCCCCCCCCCCCCCCCCCCCCACTCTCCCACTCTCATTCTCTCTCCCTCCTCTGTCTCGCTGTCTCTATCTTTTTTTTCTGTGTGTGAGAACCTTCGCCGTGCCGAGCTTCTCCCTCTGAGGCCACGGTCCCCGAGCACAACCACTGCTTTGTCTTCCCTTGTGAACACACACCCCTCCTCTACTGGGTGCCTTGGTTTGCCAGGGAAACACGGGGCCACGGCTCCTATTCTTATCCACATCGCTGCTCCTGCAAGGATGGCGTCTGTGTGTGTGTGTGTGTGTGTGTGTGTGTGTGTGCTGAATGGCAGATTGTTTTCCGTGCTGCACACTCATCTGATGCTTCAGTCGGAAGCAGACTTCTCTCTCGCTGGTGTTTTGTCAAAACTAAGAAGTTATTCATCATTCAGTTGGGGGTTTTTTTTCTTCTTTTTTAGAGCAAATAAAGAGTTTTCACTTGAGAGAGAGCGAGATAGTGTCTCCGTTTACCGTCATCTGGACATGACCAGAGTGCAGATACCCCACCCTCCGCAACTGTAACAGCCGAACTAAAAATGGAATAAAGCGGTGAGTGGATAAGAATCTAGCCGGTGCCCCCCCCCCACCCCCCGACCAGTAGCTGCCGCCTCCCGTCACATTGCTCATCCCCTGTGCGTCAGAAGGCCGTGCGGAGCTGCAAATGGCCCTTTCAAAACACACGGCAGCTGGAACGCAGGGCAAAGGTGACCGAAGCAGTTGGGGGAGCACAGCAAGGGGCAGGAGGAGGGGGGCTGGGAGGTTGGGAGGGGGGGGGGGGGGGGCATGAGAAGAGAAAGCTAAACCCTCGGGGCCCCGTGCCACTAATTGTTGAGCTTTAACAATTAAAGGACAGAATCTGGGAGACTGTTTTTTCTCTCGAGACGGAATGTGTTACCTTTTATTTCCAAACGCGTCGCACATAAATCCTGGGGGGGAACCTGTCGTCAGACAACCGGAAAGTTAGGCCGAAGGGGGGATCTCAGGGAACAAAGGCACTGGGTGATGTGGTGGCCCGGGAAATCCACGGCCCGGGATATAAAGAGAATAAGCTCTTAAAAAAGGTTACCAATAAGTCCACCGACCCCCCAAAATAAACAGAAGCCATGACTCTCTTGTGCGTCCGGTTGCTTCAAGCAGAATCTCTTTTCCTTTTCATCCACAGCAGCAATTTTCAGCTGTGGAAATTTATATTCCGGAAATTCCCACGGCGCATATTTCCTGTATTAATATGAATATGTTTTATTAGTTTTCCAGAATATATGTACAGCACACTCGCGGATTCGCCACACTGGGACAGGTGTTTAAATAAAACCAGCCAAGTGACCCCCCCCCCCCCCCCTCGGTGTACTCTGCTACTTGCTGCCGCTGTGTGAATTCACGGAGTAGTACAGAACTTATTGGGGCCGCGCGGTATCGCGAGACTTGGGCCATTATCAACCTGCCCTGACACACAGCAGCGCGGAGAGCAGCCTGGCGCGCCGGGGTCGGACCGGAGCTCAAGAAACGACGAGGGGGGAGAAGCGAACATCTGGCCGCAACATCATGAGAGGGCGCCGCGGCTTCTAGGGGAAAGAACACGACGCAGCGGCCCCGGGAAATAAATGTAAGTGCGGTGTTTTTGTGCCTCGTGACGGAGGGGGAATAAAAAGCCAAAGTTAAAGAGTGTGTGTGTCCCGTCTCCCCCCCCCCCCCCCCCACCACCCTCATCTCCACCTCCTCCTCCTCCTCCTCTCGCCGCTTCGCTCGGCGCAGTTGAGTTCCCCCCCTGTTTAAAAGGCTCCTAGCAATGCGTTTCCCGACGCGGACATGGAGCTCGGTTCACTGCGCCCGTCGCTCCCTCGTCTCCGCTGCACTTTTCGTTCTCTTATTAAAATAGAAGTCGCGCGCGCGCGCGGAACGATTCCTCGTTTTCCTCGCGCACGTTCGTCCCGGCGGCATCGAACTTTAATATTCCAATTCGGTGGAGTTTTTTTTTTCTTTCTTTTTTTTTTCTCGCACAATCTGTCTTCTGTGTTGGATTAACCCCTTTTTCTTTTCTTTTTTTAAAAAACAAATATTCCACAGTTTTCTGGTGAGTGCGTGCACGCGTATTGATTAACCGCCGCGGCTCTTTCTTTTGGTGATGAATTACCCGATAAATAAATAGAAAGTTCGAAATGAAATCCTTTTTGACACGTAATAATCCACTCTTTTCATTGCATTATTTGGCGTTTTTTGTTTGTTTGTGGGTGTAGTTTGGCCTGCGTCACCCAGAGTTAACATATGGCGTAAAAGGGGAGCACAGCTGGAGGTAACGTTTCCATTGCGGTGATGTCAGAGCAGCTGACTCCACAGCTTGGAGTGTAATTAGCAAACAGAGCACCGGTTTACTCGCTCTGCACAGCTCTTATTTCATTTTTGCTTCTCCTTCACGTTATAGCCTCGTTTCCCCCGGCGGACGAGCCGCTGCCATTCGTTGGTCCTCGCGTGTTACCGTGAACGCCGCTGGGTTGTTTTTTTAATTTTTTTTTTTTAGCGTGCGATTGGAAACGCGCCGGTGCGCCGCTTTTCTTCCGCAAATTTGAGGAAGTTCGGGAAGTATAGGCTGTCTACGAGGACCCTCAACCCCCCCCCCCCCCCAGAAGCCCCCAAAACCCCCCAAAACAAAAGAATCCTCGGGTGAAATCTGGAGAGCGGTGTCGGTGATACCTGGTCGTGGGCGCAGCGGCGCGCGTCCTGCACCACTGGAAAGAATGTCGGATTTCTCTTCTCAAGTTGCACAAAGTTATTGATGTGTAGACCTTTCAGGTAACTTCTGTCTTTCGCAATAAAAGTTTATTTTATCATTTTTTTTATTTTATTTTTTTAAATAATTTAGTGGACTTGTATTTTAAAACACGTTTGCATGTTCGATCACACTTTTTGAATTAATGTGGCTGAACTTCTTCCTCCCACTTTCTCTGCTTTTGGCCGCATCGTGTCCAATAGGCGACTTGCAGCTGAGCACTTCTGTTCGCTTCATCCAGTATCCTGTTTTTCCTGTTTCTTTCCCCCCCGTCAGGTTATGAAGGAAGAATGGAGTTCCCAGAACATAGCCGCCAGTTGCTGCAGTGTCTGAGTCAGCAGCGTCACCAAGGTTTCCTCTGTGACTGCACTGTTCTCGTCGGGGAGACTAAATTCAAAGCGCACAGGGCCGTGCTGGCCTCCTGCAGCATGTACTTCCATCTCTTCTACAGGGACCAGCTGGACAAAAGGGACGTTGTGCATCTCAACAGTGACATTGTGACAGCCCCGGCTTTCAGCCTGCTCCTTGAATTTATGTATGAGGGGAAGTTGGAATTCGGCTCTCTGCCGGTGGAGGATGTCCTGGCCGCGGCCAGTTACCTCCACATGTATGATATAGTGAAAGTGTGCAAAGGAAAGCTCAAAGACAAAGAACTCTCGTCTCCGGATGAAAAGACGGGCGAGGGTTTTGCACTCGGCTGTCTGGACAGGGAAACTTCCTCCGCAGGCAAGCTGCACAGTAAGCAGCTCGTCCGGCGACAGGCGCAGGCAGCGTCTCAGGGGCTTCACAGGGCCCCCGCCCCGCCGGAGGAGTTTGACATGGACAACAGCGAAGTCAGGCGGCCTGTCACAGACTGTGATCGGTCCACGCGCAGCGGGCAGAAGGCAAACGGTCACTCTGGCAGGTCCCCGGACCTTGTAGGTGTCAATTATTTGTCAGCAGAGGCCGAGCCCTGTGTCCAAACAGCTGGAAAAACAAAAGCCGATGTCAGTAGTTCCACCGTATCGCTGTCCCAGAGGTCCCGGGCTTCAGATGACATGGACTGCGCGCTGGATTTGTCTTTCAAGCCTCTGTCTAGCGGAGATCCCTTACACCCCTCCTACGTCTCGGGACAGCTGGCCCTCGACAGCCAGCAGCAGGGCACTGAGCCACTTGTTAAAGACGAACACGACTTGCTGTCAGAGCAGGAGGACAGTGAGCCGATGAGCCCTGAGAGCCAGCGCTTTGGGAATAGTGCCAGGAGCTCAGTGGTGACAGGGTTCGCTGCCCTCTTCCCAGGCAACAACGGCTCCACAGCCGCCCTGCTCTCCCAGGAGGAGGACCTGATGGACGAGGAGGGGGAGGCCTGCAGAGGGAGGGAGGGCGCCCCGGGCCGGGAGGCGGAGGAGAGGAGGGGCAGGCTGCTGGGGGACAGCGAGGAGGAGGAGGAGGACGACCTGGCCTCCTCCGACATCTCCACCTCCAGCGGGGTGCTCCTGCCGCCGGGGCAACAGGTGTGCGTGTGCCCGCTCTGCAGCAAGGTCTTCCCCAGCCCCCACGTGCTGCAGCTGCACCTCAGCGCCCACTTCCGCGAGAAGGACGGCGCTCGCTCCAAGTTGTCCCCCGACGGCTCGGTCCCCACGTGCATGCAGTGCAACAAGACCTTCTCCTGCATGTACACGCTCAAGCGCCACGAGCGCACGCACTCCGGGGAGAAGCCCTACACCTGCGGCCAGTGCGGGAAGAGCTTCCAGTACTCCCATAACTTGAGTCGGCACGCCGTGGTTCACACGCGCGAGAAGCCGCACGCCTGCAAGTGGTGCGAGCGGCGCTTCACCCAGTCCGGGGACCTCTACCGCCACATCAGGAAGTTTCACTGTGGCCTTGTGAAGACCCTCGCCATTGGATAAAGCGCCTGGCGCCAGTGCCGGGACTTTTCATTCATTCGCCGAGTACTACTGCTGAACACTTTCCACATTAGCCTACAGATGATGCTGGCAGTTTTTTGTTGTTGTTTGTTTTGGAGACGCATCTCTTTGGATTCTAACCCCCACGGGGCATTTGTCAAATTCAAAGTTGTAGCTACGGTAAAACTGGAGCTGTTCTCTGTGCTGGACGGTGTCACCGGGCCTTTGTGGTGATCACAGGCGGATAGATATGGGTGCTGTGAACCCCCCCCACCCCGAGACGGATCTGTGTCAACGAAGGTGAACAAATCTGATGATGCAATTGCTTGTTTCTGTCTTGTTTGTGTCACTTTATTTGATGAGTGTGTTTGCTGGAAGAAAAAAAAAAAAGCATCCCAATGTTCATACCTTTAGGCAAACGGGCGCTAGCTAATGCTAACATATGTTGATAAGATCGTAAGATGTGAGATTTTTATTTGTGCACATGGGAGATCCGAACCGTCCGTAAGTAGCAATATATGATTTTTAACTCCCGCATTATAATAATAATAATAATAATAATTTATTTTTGGGGGTATTTGTCTAGTCCTTAACAAGTAAACTATCATAAGGCAGCAAAACTAATGAAGTTTGACTACTGGAAGTACAGCTATTTTTCTTTCATGGAAGTATCATTTTTGTTTGGTTGAAATGAAGTTGGGTGCAGATTTATGTTCATAACGAGAGGCGAGCAGACGTCACATCACCAGAGCTCCTTTTTTCCGCCTGGGGGTCGACTTACCAGTGAACACATATCGACGGAAAGGCCTTCTAATTTGCTATTTGAAAAGAAGTAACGTGATCACAGGAGGGCCGGAGGGTAGTCAAAAAGATAATGTCTGTAACACTGGTGCCTACTGAAATTCTTAACACTTCACCCGGTGTACTTACTTTAACAGGAATGAGATCTCACAGCGCCTCCTTGTACGAATGACTGAGTTTTCAGGCCTTTTTGAAAGACTCTGGATTAAACGCCACATACCAGGGGGTGACAACGGCGATCCCCTGATCTGGAATCCAAGAGTGTCCTTGATTTGAATAACTTACAAGAATGCAATTAAAGTACGTACATCAAGGTCTCGTCAGTTGAATGTGTATTTAGTCGTCCGGGTTAACGGCGAATGCTCGGCGGTGAGTTCCATTGTTGTTTCCTGGTATGGCGCGAAGGGTGCGCTGACGTGGTGCCGAGGGGGCACCCTCAGCAGGGAGGGGGAGGGACAGGTGGATATTATTTGGTGGTCACCAAAGCTGGTGCTCCACGTGCCATTCAGCTGGATCTCTTTCTTTGAATTAACCTCGTTACATCACCATATCTTCTTACTGTGTGTGTGTTACTACTGATGAAGCTGGAGTCAGTCCTGAGTGTCTGCCTGTTCACATAGATGCTGTCTGGATTGTTAGCACAGGGCGTGGCACTAAAAGTTCATTATATACTTGTCTAATCTGTCCTGAGAAGACTTGAGCAGAATTTATTTATTAGTTTGACCTGGTTCAGGATTTACTGTAGGTGTACTACTTATTTCTGTAAGCTTGGAAGACGTTTTGTCTCGCCTAGCGATCTTGGTACTCATTATCTGGTATTGGGGCTGTCTGTTCATTTTTCTCTGTGCAAATCGAGTTACTGTAATTGTATTTTAATATGAAGTGTAGAAATCTCTGCAGAGCCTTCGAGGTTTGTCACACGGAACATGGAGAAGCACTTGTTTTTAGCATGCGTATAGTTTCAACACTATTGTCTAGGCTGCTATTTCTTACTATGTGTATATTTATTGTAAATATATATTCTATTTATCAAACCTGTTTTTGTTGTTGCGCGTAAGGCCGAGCGAGCCGGGCGTCCTCTTAAGGCTGCAGTCTCTTAAAGTGTCACGTCTTCGTTTTGGTTCCGTCTCCGTAACCCGGACTCAATCGGACTCGTCGATCCCGCTCGCACTGCTGTTCTTCCCCGGGAAACATTTGTTCACAAAGCACCGCCGCACTCACTGATAGGGCATTGGCTAGTGGCTACCGATAGAAGGGAGACAAAACAGGCATTGTCCCCCCCCCCCACTCCCCCTGCACACACACCACCCATGATCCCAGGTAGTCCTCAAGGGATCATTGTGAATGTCTCCGCTAGCTGCGGGGCGGAGAAAGGCTCCCTTTACACGTTCCCTGTCTTGAATGGAACCGTTGGAATGTGAGAAATGTATTTTAGCAAAGGGAGACCAAGCACACCGTAAACAGGTGAATCGTTTGGAGGCGTGTGCCCCCCCCCCCCCAAGATGCAGTAGATCAACTCTCCATTGTTCCTCCTACGTGGAGTAGATTCCACGGGGGTTTGATTGGACTTCCAACCGGCGCATTAACAGAATGATCAGATCAGATGCTAGAGGAACTGTCGGTGGCTGTGAGGGTCAAAGGTCAAATGTAGGTGCTACAGATCCATTTCAGGTTGGCGCTATTTCTTTTTTTTTTTTTTTTTTTTTGTGAAAAAAGAAGTGAGCTCCCAGGTGATTCCTCAGCGTTCGCAGCGGGTCGACGGCGTTGCGACGGCGTTGCGACTGAAGCTCGAGTCGCGTACGAGCCGAAAGCGTTTCTGAAACACTAATTGCCGCGAACTGTTTTCATCCGTCTCCCTGACCTGAAGTCAGCACTGGGGCTCGAATGAATGAGGCTTGTGTGTCATTTTACAAGAAATGGGATTTGCCCCCCCCCCACCCTCACCCCATAAACTGCACGCCCTGAGAGTTTAATCCCGTAGAACAATTTCACACACGCCGCTTGTTGCTTCGTGTTCATAACGTTTATTTCAATCGGAACACACAGGAACGTAGATTTTTGTCACTGTTTTTAAGGTACGTCCCTTATGTGGTGCAGATTAAACCGCTGGATTCTCTAATGTACATGTGTACAGAGGTAGAAGAAAAACTAACTATGTGAAGATTTGTTTTTGTTTTCTTTTTATTGTTTGCAGTCTTTATTTATACCTCCAGAAGGATCACCAAACGTGCCTTGTAGACCCACGAATAGGTGTTGCATCTGGAGAAGGCCGTGTTCTGTACCGTCGGCGTTTGCCCACGTGACAGCGAGCGTAGTCCAGCCGAGTGATTCACCACAAAATAAACCTTTTTTTTTTTTCTTGCTTTGCGAGAAAGTACGTTTGAGATTACTTTGATCATTTCTGTTCATGTGAATATATCTGTTTCTGACGTGTTTAACTGAAGACAAGCCTTTTTTTTTTGTGATTTGGTTTTTAGTTGCCAATACGACTGGGAATTAACAGTTTATTGCTTTAGTAAATGTCACTGAATTTCTGATTGTTGACTACTATGGAAGCAGCGCTACTCTTGATCGAAGGCTCCGTTTACCGAACTCATGAATGATCCTTAAGTCTAAAAAAACAAAACCACAAAAAAACGATACTGGAATTTTGTCCACTGCAGGTTACAACTGTGAAATTGTGTATAATCATGAGAAATATTTATTATTGCATTTGCTTCTTGTGCAGCATTTGACTGTCTCAGTTTTAATTTGGTTAAAAAAAAAAAAAAAAAAAGAAAGCTTCTAAATGTTGGACAAAAAATCTTTTTAATAGAATTTGTAGAAGTGCCATTAGAATTTAATATAATTTTTTTAATAATAAAGGTATATTTTATAGTAATGAATTGCTTCAGTGTTAGTGGTGTAGAGATTTAGAGGACAATCTTTATGCAGAATTGACATTGCTTAGATATTGAGGCAATTCACTTTAGATTTCTAACTGTCTGTGCATTTTCTTTGTTTGCGCTTTTGGGGTGTGCTTGTGTGCGTGTGCTGTGGAAATGTGACAATCTTGATTTAGGTCTTTCTTAAGATTATGCATAGAATTAAATGGAACAACTTTCTCTCTTTGTGTGGACTTCATTCATTTACTACACTTTACTTTCTTTTTCTTTTTTTCTGGAGAAAACAAAGGTTAACGTATAAACTCCGACAACAAAAGAACCTTGTGGAAGCGTCCTGGTCCGACACGCAGCGGCAACAATCCGCCAGATAGCAATTGTGTGGGCAGCACTGCAATGTGTACAGAGACAACAGAAAGTGATAATACTGCCGGGTCCTACAGGCCTTCCCCTCTGCAACCATAAACTCAGCCCAAGGACAGAGCAATTTCAAGATGGGCTCCCATTGTCCCCGACCTGTTGCCAATACTCTCCAGAAGAGATAACCCGTGGATAACGAATCCAGATGCCGGTGTGCTGTGATTATTACAGACACCTGATTGTATTTGCTACACACAGACACACCTTTGTTTGTAAGTAAACACAAACTTCACGCCAATTCACCGGACAATTACAATGGAGAGAACATTTAACCATGAAAGAAATCCAGCTGCTCCGCTACGTGATCCCAATGGAGATGTGCTCTGGTTCCCACCGCCGCCCCCCCCCCGTTCTGGGAACGCCGCCCCCCAACCCCTCCACAGACCCCAAAAGCGCGGCCCCTCATCCCTCCGCTCCATTGTGTGCGTGGGTAGTAGCTCAGCCCGAGCTATTGTCTGGCCCGGCTCCCCGGCACGTACTTTATGCACAAACAGACGACACAGCGGCGCTGGCCAGGCAGCTCCGACATAAAGAAAACAATGTCCTCCCAAGATCATTCATAAACACCCCGAGCAGCCCACAGCCAGCCAGCAGTAAATAAGGGCCCTCTGCGCCGCCGCCGCGCACTGTAAACAGCCACAGCAGCAGGCCTCAGAGGGCTCGCTGGCACCAACATCTCACATCTGCCCGACGGGATCCAGGGCTTAGACTGTGTGCGGGGTGTGTGTGTGTGTGTGTGCATGCTTTTCTTGTGGATCCAAAACCTTCACGTGGAAAGTAGGGGCCATGTGACAGAGCTTAGCTGCAGGGCGACGAGCCGCGATATGTGCAATGTAACGCTATGGTGTAATAAAACATTCCTCTCAGAGGCTCAAAGCCCGGCTCATTTGGTTCTGAGAGGCCGTGTGTGCGTGTGTGTGTGTGTGTGTGTGCGTAGAGGTACTTGAGAGAAGTTGAGAGGAAAGTTGTAAGTGTCCACCACCAAGGCCAGCGGTGGGAGCCCTTGACCTCTGAGGGGACGGACTGCCAGGGACAGCTGGTGGGGCCTGTTTTTATTTATTTATTTCTTAACAAAAGACAGGTGGTCACACTTGGAAAGGGCACACAAACACAGTCACACATGCACTTGTGTACAGACAAGGCACGCGCGCGCACACACACACGCGTACGTGGGTAGTTTTCTTTTTCTCTCTCTGTAGGAACACATGCATATGGTTAACATCCACTTAATTTTGGAGGAGCGATTCTTTTGACTTTCAGAATAATAATTGAATTCCTAATTAACAACAAGAGCCTGGTGTAATACGGGACCATTATTGCCCACTTTTAGGGCTTCATCCACATTTGAAAGTAGCATTAATGCATTTAACCACTATCTTAAGCCGCCATCTGAACTGTTTATATACCACACATCGACTGCTACAAGTGCATAAATACATATCAACCAGTGCTCGCACACTGGGTTCGCCTTTTTTGGAGTGGCTCGCCCCTGACGGTGCCAAGACACTGTGTCCTTGGTCCACTGTACAGCTGTCACTTACTCACACTGGCTGACGCATATTTATAGCATCAGCATCACCGGTGGCCGACGCTCAGACCACAGCTGGTCCCCACGAGGATGGGTGGAAGACAAAGCCACGTGCTCCCGCTGGCCCACTGCAGTTGGTGCCGTCTGGAGCGCCGTGGGTGATTACGTGGGCCCCCTTCTCCTCGCACACATGCACCGGGGAGGAGAAAAGGGGGAGGGGGGGGGAGGCCCACTGTGAGCTTTTTTTTTCTTTCTTCTTTCTTCTTCTCTGAATGTCACGGATGGGGATGTGCTGGAAACCTTGGCAGCTGCACTCGAAGGTACATAAACACATGATTACGGAGTTCACAGCGGGGGCGATGGGGACTACACATCAGCGTCTCGTATGGGTTAAAAATACATTTGGTAGATGTTTGGGACAGACGGACGAGTGGTGCCATAACAACTGGGACTTACTCGTCATCTTTCAGAGGTGCAAAACTCTGCCGGCATGCATAACGTGACTCCCCGTTGTGAGTCTTTTACTTTGCATCAATAAACGGAATATATTTGTGAATTGTTCCCGTGCGCATTTGTGAATTTTCTGTTTGCATTTGCAATTATTGAGACTGATCTGACCTCATATCAGAGGGATACTCGCTCCGATAGTAGAGGTCACTACGAGTATTTTGTATTTTGTAACGTAGTAAAAGTGTTAAAATGAACTTACGATCATCAACGATACATTTACAGGGAGTTTAAAAGTGCTCGTCTTCGCTCAACCTCATTAGGGAATTTATTAGGCCGCACGGTCTTTGGATAATTCAGTCACGAGCGATTTAAACAAACTTTGAATAAGCTGCACTTTGTTGGAGAAGTCGAGGTTTACTTGTTGATTGGACATTTTAGGGAGCAGGAAATCAGGAAAGGATGTTACTCATTTAATTTAGCCAATTGAATAACGGTCTCACATTAAATCGTTCATTTAAAGCTTTATAGTTATGGACACAGGTTGATTAACAAGAGTCGGGGGTCGGTTAATCTTCAACACGAGCAACGGAAGAAAAAAAAAAACATGCAGATTAAAAAAAAAAGGCTTGAGTGTTTTCGGTTCGCCTCAGAGTTCCTTAAAGTCTTATCATGAAAATGTGCAGACAACTTGACGCCTTTTGTCTGCCAGCAGCTGTCCGTTCATTCAGCCAGAAACCAAGCGGTGCCCCCGAACACCAACTGCAGAGCTCCACAAAGGCCGCAGCCACAACTGGCCTGCTGAGCGGGGGGACGTGACGCATCGGCTCCGAGCAACGCACTCGTCCAAGTGAATGTCTGACACCACCTGACGTGATCGAGTTCTATTTTTAAAGAAAGGTGCCGGTTCAGGACTTCTGCCACAAAGAACAATTACTCGGGTGTGTAATACGCGACCCTGAAAATGGGAGTCGCCGTCAGGAGAAAGTGATGACTGCCCCTCAAGGTCGTGTCCAGGAAGGATAATTGTACCCAAACAGTCTGCTGCGAAGCTCTGGTTCCGTTCAACCTCTGGGTCTTGTTTTTAAATATATTTGATAGCGGAGCCTCAAGGTCGGTCCAGACGGGGCTGGTTTGTAATTCCGTTGTCACTGCAGAGACTAAACTTCATCTTCATCAACAGAAAGAGTGCTTCTCGATCCCACAGATGAAGGAGTTCGTCCAGTGAGGAAGCGGGGGTGTGTGTGTGTGTGTGTGTGTGTGTGTGTGTGTGTGTGTGCGGAAGGGAAGGAGTCCCTCAGCAGTCCTTGAGGTGTGCTGCCACCTGCTGATGTATCTACAACAAGACCGTTGGATAACCTTTTAGCTAATTGGCTGACTTTTGTTCAGACATCCATTTTGGTTGTTGCATTATTCAAGAGCCAGTTATTAATTTATTCAGCCCCTTTAATCAAAATCATTACTGCAACTGCATTAAAGATGCACTGAAGACACAATGAATTTGTATTCAAAAGTGGTACATTTTATTTAAGACTTTCAATACATACAAATATATACACACAAAAAAATAAAAGAAAATCACAGGTATAAAATGCAGTCTGAGGAATATCATGAGAGGCAACTTTATATGTTCAAGCATGAAGTCCGGAGGCCTCAGCCGGTCTTCCTCTACGTCGCGCAACTGCAGCACTGCACCTCATCATATTGGCCGCTGTAACTGAAACACAAAAATCTGTTAAATCGCAGTGGTAAAAATAAAAAAAATATATATATTTTCACCGCTTTACACACTTGGCGCTCCAGTTGCAGCCTTTTTTTATTCATTAAAAGGCGTAAGCAGAACCCAGATGTTGAACACTCCCAACTCTGAATATGGAAAGACCGTAACTACAGGATCCTACTCCAATAACATGTGACTAAATGCAGTGTTTACCAGATTGCTACGTGGCTAAAATAGCTCTGGCAGAGGACCACCAAAAAAAACGTTTTAAGCATCAAATCTGCAAACTCAACACGTTTTTCCAAGTGTCACCATATTAACCTCAGTGTGAACATCCTGTTTAATAGGACCTTTGAAGCAGAGACTATGTAAAAATAAATGATTAAGACAGTAGACTTACTCCAGGATGGTGCAGACCGAGCAGCAGAGGCCGGAGCAGCAGGAGCACTGCCGTGTGCAGGAGGGACAGGCGAGGCGCTCGCATTGGGAGCACGGCGTCCTGGAGCCGTGACTCTTCTGACACACGCAGCAGCACGCGAGAGCCACGGACGAACCTAGAAACACAAACATGCATACGTGCAGCACAATGGATGAGCCTTTAAACAGAAAAAAGCACTCCAAGTGTGTGACAACCCTGCCCTCTGCTGGTTAACAGCATGAAGTGAGTTAACCATGAGTACTTGAGGCAACAGAGTCAAACACTTTCTTGTCCATTCTTGCTTATATTTAGAAACTAAAAACCTCCCTCAGTGCACATTAATTAAACATCAAAAGATTTTCCCCCGGCAAAGGATGGAAATGTGACCACGTCACATTTCGCATGTATTTGAGTGGACAATTAAAAAAAAAGTGAATTATGCTTCAATTGTTTCATCATGTTTACAAACATCCAAATCAAGTAATTTTAGAATTAAATCCCCTCCTCTTTCCTCCCCTAACGGTCTCTGTGCAGACTGGTGTTGGAATGGGTTAGAAACAGCTGTTTGTTTCCTATTCATGTCAAGCCTCACATTCGCCCCAGCTCATCCATGAACGTCATCGTTTTACTTTAGCGGCATGAAGTAAAGCGTGCAGTGCAAGTCTTTCGGTGCTGTCCCAACAGATTTAGCGGCAAACCTCTGCGGAGCGCAGGCACCCTGCACCTGTCCGCGAGGCGAGGCGAGGCTCACCTTGCGCAGCGGCGCCTCTCGTCAGCCTCCCGTCGTGTCCAATCAGCGTCTGTCCTCGCAGCAGCGACTGGCTGCATGCGGGACTCTCTGCGGGACCACTGGGGCTCTGCTTTCCAGTCCAGATTTGGCCCATCACAGCCTTTGCGCCGCTGAAGAGCAGGTTCTTGGTCTTGGCTGTGAAACGGAAACTCTTAGTAAATAACAGGTGATTTACAGCCAAGAAGCGGATTTAAAGCCAGTAGAAATTGGTTCGGAGGCCAGCAGATGTTAAACGGTCATTAACAGTATTCACCAGTCGTTAAGTTACTTAATGTAACCGGTTACACGTCACGACTTTACAGGAACGCGAAGCAACGCACAATAAGTGACCAGCGCGACTGTTTTATAGTTGCGTCAACAAACCCAACGTGCGCAACGACCAAGCTAGCGACGGCTAACAAGGGCTTACCGTATATTTCTTGCCGATATTTGTTCCCAAACACGCCATAATTATTTAACTCTTGCTCTCCGACATGTATTTTGTATTGGGAGGAGAAGGTTTCCGGAAAAGGACAAGCTCGTTTTGGCATTTTCTCTGCAGATAACTCACGACGTGGTACTTCAGACTTCCACAGTTGTTTGTTGCGGGAAAACTGCGACGGAGAAGGCAGTGAACCAATCAGATACGTCCTTTATTGTCACGTGAAAGCTACAAGCCAATCCAACGACGATTCTTCTGTCACGTGATGTTTGGTTCTCTGTTAAACTTGATCAAGGCTGTGCTGCCTTCATGTGCTGCCTTAAAATTTGTATTTTATGGTTTCATCTCCGGAAATGAAAAACTGGTGGAGTATATGAGCATAGCATGACCTCACCCAAGGAAAGAAAGAAGATAAATAGAAGAGTAAGTTGTCATAATAATGATCAACAGTGTCCCAGCTGTGTCTGGTTTGACTGGTCTTTTGCAACAACTGATCTTGATTTCTTTATTAATTAACATTCATGCGGGTTTCATTGGTGATACATACTCATACATAAAGACTATTTGATTGTAACTAAACAAACATAGCTGACACTTCTCAAAGGTGACATAGATGTTTTTTTTATTGAGGTACAGCTAACAGGGATCAGATATGCCACATCCTCTGTGCTCCTATCAAGGAGAAGATACACGTTCCTCTTTAGAACATCTGGATCATGCACTCCCTGGACTTTCCAACACCAATCCACTTGACTGAAGGGGACAAAGAAACAGAGAAAGATTAGTAAAGTTTTACATAACAGTGCCACGAAAAAACAACAACTTTGGAGATGTAAATTTCTTATTTTGTGTCAAACATACTGGGAACTCCAATGTGGTTCTCGATGAAGTGGATGTAGTTTTGTGCCTTGGCTGGGAGGTCGTTCCACTTCCTGGCTGCAGAGGTGTCCGTCTTCCAACCAGGAAAGCTCTCGTACTCAACCTCCACTTTGTGCAAAACGTCCATGTTGGCTGTTGTTAAAGTAATACAAGAACACCAATCGTTAACAGAAAAACACGATGCGTTCATGATGTTTATTCTACATATGATTTCTTCTTCTAAATTACCTGGGAAATGGGGAATTCTTTTTCCATTGACTTTGTAGGCGACCCCCACTTTTATTTCATCCATCACATCCAGAATGTCAAGTTTTGTCAAAGCGATGCTGTAACAAGTTACATGGAAACCAGTCAACGTGTGCTGCGAGTTACTATTGTAACGAGATTTTTATAAGATGTATTATGAATGAATGAATCATATAAAAGGGTCACCAAACACTTTGCTCAAAGCGCTCTGGTCACTAACCCGGTGAAGCCGTTAATCATGTGAGCGTATCTCAAGATGACGAGATCCAACCATCCGCAGCGCCGCTTCCTTCCTGTGGTCACGCCCACCTCGTGACCCCTCGTCTGCAGCAGCTCTCCCACTGCCTACGGTAAACAGGGGGGGGGGGGGGGGCTTTATTATTCATGAACCTAAATTGTGTTGTTAGGCATTTAATAATTCTACAGAAACCTCAAAATGTGCATTCACTATGCTGGTTACAAACACAGCGTAGTACAAAAAAAAAACATATGAGCTGGGCGGGGGATTAAGTTGACTTTTTTTAAGTATGTATTTTTAGCTCCCGTGACAGGTAACATGACCCCAGCACACAGTAAATATATCCTGAACCCAGACTCTGGCCTGAAATTTATCGCTGCGAACATGTGACTTGCATAAGAGTTTGAACACTAAATTTGACAGCTGCACTCAGCCAGGGGAACCCACCCCCACCACCACCCCCCCGACCCCCAAAAGCCCCGCTGCCTGCGTGTCAGCCACATGATCGCAGTCAAACGGCACACGTTCAGCTCAATACCAGTGGGTTGCATAACACGTCATGTGTCTATTTGTTCAGACGATGCAAAGGCCAAGAAAGCAAAGGACACGTGACGACGTCCGAGCTCTCTGAGACGCACAAACATCTCTTACATTGAGTTGTTCTGTGGGGAAGGCTCCGATTCCCACTCTGGTAGTGTAGGCCTTTGATACACCAAAAACATCGCCGATGTTCAGCGGTGGGATGCCAAGACCAGTGCATGCCCCGCCCACGGTGCAGTTTGATGACGTCACGAAAGGATATGTGCCTTTAGAGGGAAAATGTGTTGGGTTATGTCACTGACTCCCCCACAGATCCTCAAGAAAAACCCCAATGTGCATTAAACCACATGAAAATACCAAAGTCAATATCAAGCAGAGCAGCATTGGCCCCTTCCACCAAGATTTTCTTTGGGGATCCATGAAGAGCTTCGTACATGTAGTAGACGCCGTCTCTCACCATTGGCCGCAGTCTCTCAGAGTATTCCTGCATAAAACAGGAAGAGCATTTTATTTTTCAAATATATTGATGTTGGAATGACAACAATTCATTCACTTTTGCAAACCTAACCCAAGTTTACCTTGAGTTTTTTCAATTGGTCCTCAACGTCAACGGTCAAGGTTGGGTACATGGACTGATGCTGGCGGACGAGGTTCTTGAATCTGAAAGGAAAGTAAATTGTGAATCACGCCGCAAGCTGTTCATCGTAGTTTTATTCTTGGCGTTTGCCTCTGTACCTCATGGAGAAGTCCTTAAAGTCCGCCAGGAGGTCACACACACGGAGGCCGGTGCGAGACGCTTTGCTGGAGTATGCCGGTCCGATGCCCTTCTTGGTGGTTCCAATGCTGCAGCACAAGCCAAAGTAACGGATTTACAGTAATGTGTGAAATCGCATGTGTGAAATGACTGACAATAAATGTCAAATGTTGGCCGGTCCGTCCTGTGTGTCCTTACTTCTTTCCTTCTTGTGCTTGCCTTTCAGTCTCCTGCAAACCGTCGACAACCTGGTGGAAATCAAACACTGCGGAGAGACGGCAAACAAGGCCTCACGCCATTAAAACCGGATTCACTGACTGATGATTTACCCCCGACCGTACTTAATTGAATAAAGCAAAGCATTTTAATCGTCTCATATACTGTACATACCCAGGTGAGCTCTGTCTGATACAATCAATCTCTTCTCCCAGCCTTTCAGACCTGGTCAAAGAATAGAAACAACACGTGAGTTTCCTAAATCCCACTAACGCATTATGTATAATGGGCATCATTTGTCTTCAAATACCTTTCTTTTCATTTTTATCGCCCTCCTCAAACAGGCCAGGTAGATGTATGACCACCCCATTGCCTAGAAGAGCAGAGGAGGAGGAATATGTGAAACTGCACGAATACTCTTCACTCAATGCAGCTGAATATTTAAGCTCATTACCAATGAGGGAGGTGCTTTTGGAGTTGATGATTCCACTGGGCAGAAGGTGGAAGTCGTACTCCTTGCCGTCCACGACCACCGTGTGCCCTGCGTTGTTGCCCCCCTGTAAATCGAAGCACGGTGCCAGATTATGACGCGGTAGTAAACGCTGCCGTGTTTTTAGCGCGAAATGATCAAAAGCAGCCACGCGTCTCATTATATTTTTGTGAGACTTGGTGGGGGGGGGAAGAAGTCACCCTCTGCCCGATTCACTGAGCTTCTCCAGCACATGTTTCAGCAAGACTTGGCTGGTGCCGTTGGATCCACCACTCTGTCAAGCATCGCTAAGTCCTGGCCTTCTCACATATCAAGCCTCCCTGAGAATGTGACCTCTCTGCGCAGCCCGGCGGGTGGGGCTCTCCGGCCTCCGGGACACAGGGTGCCAGCGGAGAGCGGAGACAACACAGCAACTGTTGGCAGGTTTCAGTCGCTGGAGTGACCTCTGATATATGTCCTATGTGAGTGAATAGCAACTGACCTATATAGAGCTTTTTATTTTTAATGAATTAAATCAAAGTAGTTCAGATTCAATCTCTGTGTGATCATCTGAATGAGTGGGTCAGAACATTTGCCTGATCATAAACTGATTTGGAGTCTGTAAAATGATTTGATATTGTATTTTAATGGCCATTTAAGCCCGTCAGTGCAGCTTTGGAACCACAGAGCATTCTCAGCATGGTTAACTACACAAAAACAAGCTTTTCCCAGCTATAATTTACGACATTCTCTGGAGTGTAGCCCAAATACAAGTCTCACCACCCGGAGTACCAGTTGCATTTTAACCGGCTGCACAGTTTGCGCCAGACTTTATTTTGGGGGAAAAAAAGGCATTTGGCAACAACAGTGGTCTGAAATCACGAACCCACACATTTACCTGACATCTGCAGACAACGTCGGCTTCGGTCGCCAACAGATCGACGACTTTCCCTTTGCCCTCGTCTCCCCACTGCGCACCGAGCACCACCGTCACTTTGTTCCCGGCGTCGTTGCGCGATCGCTTCTGTCCGGCGGCGGCGGGTTGACTCATGTTTTTGTGGTCTTTCGCGGACCAGCTGAGCGACATGTCGTCGGTGGCTTAAGCTCGCCGGTCTCAAGAAGACTCCGCGGTCTCCGGGAGCGGTGTTGCCATATCTGTAACTTCATAGCCGATGATGTCAGAGCCAGACGCGCAGCAGTGCGCAGGGGCAGCGCGTCTCCGGGGCCGGTACGAGCGACGAGGAAATGGCCTTTACGCAGCGCGCGCACGGATGAACGAGGACAGATCGAGCGCGTTAACGCCGGTTTTATTAATCTGTTCTATTCTATGATTTGGTCGAAAACAACAGAACAGCTGAACACTAGATTCACTTTATTTAAAATATTTTTAACATTAAAAGGGTTACAATCAATTTGTTTTTTTGTTTTTTTTAAATTATTTTTCCTTGTTGGAGATCATCTGGGTAATGTGTGTAGAAATAAACATCGGTTTGGTTTTGATGAGTTAATTAGATATCATGCACCAACACAACGCATCTTCTTTCTGTTGGCGCTGAAAGGGAAACGCAGCATAGCAAAAAACACATTCACTGCTTATAAGAGCTATACAAAACATATAAAGCATATTTAAATTCTGAATTCAAACGACAAACGATTCATTTACATAAAGTGACATTTTGACATCCATACAGCCGTAGATGCGTTTACTCTTCTCGGACAAATCATTGCAAAAGAAAGACTTCTGCATCCTCTTGAAGGAGTCAATGTTCATGTGGGCTTTTACATAAAACTGTAGACTTCCATTTCACAACCATGTGAAATTAACATTTTCTTTTTCCTCTCAAATTCCTTTTTCTGGCGTCACCTACGGAAACAAAGACTCAATGAATTGATGGGGAAAAAAAATGAAGTCATAATTAAAAATATTTTAGTTAGTTATGTAAATAAACTAGATTAAATTGTATCGTGAAATCTATTCACGTGATTATTTGGCTTGCAGGCACTAAGTGGTTAAAGTTTTTTTTGATAAAACCTTTTTAATGAATTTACATCACATACATCTTTCACCAAAATCAGATTAAAGCACAGTTTACAGGAAGCACACAAGACTGCGTTAGTAGGTTGAACAGTCCCAGACTTGGGTAATGGACAAAAAAATATGGAAGGAAAGACACAAAAGTGGTTGCTTTCATGAAATAACTCGGTCCACAATGACTTCACAAACTGCAAGGCTGTTTCAGATCAGAAAACCGATGCGAGTACTCGCATCGGCAGTACATTTAGGGTTAAAAGTAAATAAATCCCATTTTGGTCAATGGTGTTAGGTTTTAGTTAGATAATAAAATGATTTTAAAAAAAGAGAGCGAGTGTTAAAAGCTGGACAACAGAGACACATGAAATCCAGAATAGAGTTAGACCAACAAATGACGCGTTACTTGGGACAAAGCTTCGACGGTGATTGAGTTCATTAGGATGATTTTTGCTGCTTACAGTTTGCCAGCCCATTGATTTGACCTACCTCATTGCAAAACACAGCTTTTATGTTTAGTGAGTCCTTTCCCACTGTTACCTTGTGCTTGAGAGTCAAAACGAGAACAGAGCATTCAAACAAACCGTCGATCAATTAAAAATCCATCAAGCTATGCACACGGCCGCCATACTGTAATGTAAAGTGCACGTTGGCATGCAAAATACTTATAAATACCACGAGAGCCCATACATACAATATAAAATGTTAAAAACTGTAAAAAACAAAACTGCTCGCCGGTGTTTCCCATTGACACACATCGAGAGACTAGCATTCCAAACGTGATCTTTATTTAAGTGAATGGATGAGTTACCTTGATTACTCTTCTTTTTGTTTCCTTTAAAGATGCTCCTCTGTCTCTTTGGTTTGGCGTTAAGGGACAGAGGCTCGGCTTCAGACACGGATGGAAAATCATCCGATTCCAGTCCGTCCGGGACGTCGCACCCCTTGATGCCCTCGTCCAGTGTGGTCGCGGATGACTTAACAACAATGCACTTCTGCTCGTCTGGACCCTTGTCTTGTTTGACGGTCTCCCCTGAATGGCTCTCTTTGTGACTCTCATCGCCTTTCCCATCTCCCACGATGGTGCCGCCGCCGCCGTGCTTCACGCTGTCTGTATTGGGTAAAGGACTTTCCTGCACCTGAACATTAACACCAATGTCCGCCGACTCCTCGGGCGTCAGCGTCTCCGATACCAGGCTGGAAGTGCCATCTAAAGCATCCTCTAGGCGGGGGGAGTCTGAGCGGGGAGACGGGCTGAGGACGCTCGTCTCAGTTGAATCCCACGAACACCCATTTGTAGGGAGGCAGGGGGGACGCGGCGCTTCGAGCCGAGGTGGTGGCGACACTGCAGGCGTCGGCGGCAGTTGCCCCTCCTGCGGCGATGCAGGTTCCTTCGGGGGTTCCTGTGCTGCTGTGGCTGGTTTTCCGGGGAGTCCCTTGGGAGGTACAGCAGGAACGGCTTGCGTCGCACTCTCCGGCGTCGCCGGGCGAGTCTCTTCTGACGCGCTGATGAGGCCGTTCGGTTCTCCTGCGCTGGGCCGGTGACCCTCTGGCTGAGATTTGCTGGGAGAGGACACGGCGGCCACTTCGGCGCAATTTTCGTTTACAGGCTTCGCACCTGATCCTGAGGGAGGGGAGGAGGGGGGGGGTAGAAGTAAATCGTGTTGACGGTGAACACAGGAAGTCCATTGTAATCTTTGAAACGGATCGATTATTTCAGTGAGCAAAAGCTGCAAGCAAAGAAAAAAAAATGTCTCCATGCAAATACGGCTTGACGAAGCAACTAAGCGCAAGGCGGCAGCGGCGCTTTAGGCACAGATTAAATAGGTTAGGTAAAGCGGCAAAGCAGTGTCGTGGCTCGTAGTTAAGTGGCTCAGGAGCGGAGCCGGGAACTGCGGATGGAGGCCACAGTTTCTTGTCCTTACCAGATGGGCAGGTATCCCTACGCTTTTCACTAGAAGGGAGGCTTTCCGAATCGCACCTTGGCCTGGTCTTCCTGAGGCTGAAACCTTTCCTGATATCCGCCAACAGGTGGTCGATGATACAGTCGTCGTTCTGTGGCACAAAGCCCTTCTTGACTGGTGACACAGAGGCAACAAAGAGGGCTTAGAAAAAACACCCGCGCCATTAAAATGGCATCTTGGTTAAGAAGTTCTAGGGCACAGTGACCATAACAAGGGTGACTCGCAACTCACTGATTTTTCCATTCTCTCCCTTCTGTCTCTTGGACTCCTCCTCTGCCAGCTGCCTCTTTCGCTTCTCAGCCTTGGCGGCCAGCTCTTTTCTGGTTTTGTTTTCCTGTTATGAGAGAAAAGAGGTCACTCGCTGCCAAGTACAAAGCGTACATGGTCATTTTGTATCATTTAGGAAATGATGTAGCAGCAAGTATATAATAACTTGTAGAAAAAACAGCGACCTCTCTGACCTTCTGTGCCTTGATGAAAAGTCCTCGGAAAGTCCTGATGGTTCCGAAGAGCTCCTCGAGCGACAGCTGATTGGCATCTTCACACAAGTAGACAGCCAGCTCACCCTTCTGCATCTCAACGGCGGCGAGCCTTTCGCTTAGAACCTGAAAGGCCTCCAGACTCTCCTGCCGCAGAAAAGAAATGGGTTGAAAAACTGGATCCAAATCCCTCCGAGTACGGCCGTATGCCCCGTTGGAGGCAACGCAGAGACTGCGATGTTACCTGGAGCACATTTTCATATTGCTCCTTCACGTCGTCGACAGAGTTGGAGACCTTCTTGACCGCCTCGTTCAGTCGTTTCAGTAAGGCGCCGGCTTCTGCCTGAATAGAGTCCATGTTGACTCTGAAGACAGAGGGGGAAGAAACCATTTGATGAAATGTTACAAATCCCGAGAGAAAAAAATGTAAACCATGGGACAAAGTAGTTGTGAAAGCATTCTATACCCTGCTGCTTTTTCACAGATCTCTATTTCATCTGGCAGTGACAACAGCTCCGGGTGGTTCACCTCGGCTTCCTTTGGCAAAATAAATCAAGTGGTTAAACGGGTCCATGACTGAGGGGGAAACCAAACGGCAGCTGCGAGCTACTCTGTGTACCTCCAGGAGGTGATGAAGAAGTGTGATGCGGTTCTTGTTGCCCTTGGTCTCCGTCAGCTTGAGCAGAGAGCTGATCCTGAACCCCTCGGCGTTGCCCGTGTGGCTCCCCTGGAAGTGGACCAAAGATTTAATAATAATGCAAGCGCTGTCCAAACGGTCAGCTAAAAGCAAAATATACATGAGAATGTTCTTACGTAATTGAGAAAATTCCCGACGTCGAGGATGAGCCGGCAGAAAACTGGCATGAGCGTACTCGTCCTGAGAGCTGAGCGATGAATTACATGCCGTTAGATTAAAAACAGTATGTATACACAACTGCAATGATAGATGAAGGTTCCTCAGGGTTCCTTACACTGGCAGGCCTCCTCGACCAGCTTGATTTTGGGCTTGAGCATACCCAACACCGATGACGTCTCCTCACACAGCAACATGCAGTCAATCCTCAACTGATAACTGGAGAAACCAGCCGCAGGGCAAAAATAAATAAAAGATGCAAGTACGAACCGGCATTGTGCAAATAAGAAAAAAAACAACAACCAGACTTTAAAGAGAAAGAAAAGAAAATGACCATGGCACGCTAAGAAGAGAGGTGTAGAAGCGATCAACATTTGCCAACTTGTCTTTCTCGCCTTGAAAGGACTTCAGGTTTTCAATCTGAAAAGAACAACACGGTGACTCAGACGTTTGCCGCTGCAGAGTCGGCCCTTCATGGAACATAACGTGGGCGAGAAAGCCTCAAGGTAAGGATGAAGACAAACCTCATGCTTTTCTGGCAGCAGCTTAATGAGCTGCTTCAGCACCTCTACGTCGAACTTAGTACGGTCTCCGCTCTGAATCATGGCTGCAAAGTCCTCGTTTTTGCTGCACAGAGAAAACGAAAAAGTATTTATAAAAAATATATATAATCAGAGAAATAAAAAAAATAAATGACTCACCATTTGAACTGCTTCAGGAATATGTTCAAATTCAAGTTTTTCTTTGGATCAATGAATGTTATCTATTAGAATAATAAAAGAGCAGAGAGTCTTATTGATCACTCGATACCCCGGTTCTGAGGAGCAGTGTGGATTGTTGACCAAGCAAACCTCTTTGGACTCCTTCTTGACAGGAGCAGCTGCCCCCTTGTCTTTGTGCTCGGTCACCGGGAGACAGAACAGCTGCTCGATGCTGCTGTAGTCCGGCTCCGGGGGAGGCGGCTCTTTCTGAACCGAGGCCCACATGGAGTGACCATCTGTGGGAGTGCAGGAAGAGGGGATCCGGTTTGTATCAACATCCTGCCGGAGTTCTTTTTTTTTTTTTACAGCCGTGTTTACCCTCGAAACTCCTCTGCAACACCCACACACACATTTGGGAGAATCCGTTCTGGTGAATTTGATGTTTCATCCCCATCAACTACTCATCACCGAGGCCTTCCAGCAGTGTCTTCACTCACATTTCCTCGGTGGAAGTGATGTCTTCTAATAAGACTCGGGGCATACGTAAAGGACAGATTGTTGTGACTCACCGGTAACCGTGCGGAGTTTCTGCCAGTTGAGCTTTTTCATCCTCAGGGTGGGACATCGGTGGGACTTTGAGGGTGCGGCGCCCCCGAGAGCCTGGCTGCTTTGAGCCTGGATCATGCCTGGCGCAGGAGGAGGGGGAGGTGGCATGCCAGGTAAGGGAGGTGGTGGCGGCGGCCCACCGCCCATCCCCGGTAGGGGGGGCGGAGGAGGTGGGGGAGCCACGCCTGGACTGCCGAGCAGCGGCATTCCAGGTAACGGAGGAGGTGGTGGTGGTCCGCCGAACCCTCCGGGAAGCGGCGGTGGAGGAGGAGGAGGAGGAGGAGGAGGTGGGCACTGGGTGGAAGGTTGGACCAGGAGCCCATTCATTCCAGCGGGTAGAGGAGGAGGAGGTGGTGGAGGAGGAGGAAGGGCACCCAGTGGCCTCTGAGTGGATGCGACGCGTTCGTCCGACTTCTCTTCATCCCGATGACGCGGTTCCGTCTGCACCGCCTTACTCGCTTTGGCGCGCTGCGCGTCCACTTCGTGGTGACCCTCGCAGCACTTGCTTTTGGAGAACGTCAGCCGCTGCATTATCTTCTCACAGGACTCCATCTGAGCTGGAGCACAAATCCCAAAAAAACAAACAAAAACACAAATGAACCCCCAACGCGAAACGCCTCCCGTTTCGTCGCATTGGTCGCCTTCCCCGGCTAAACCACGCCCCTTCACACACACGAGTCGCAGAGGAGCCCTTCTAGCTACCCGTTAGCCCCTCTGCAGGCTCGACCCAAGGCGAAAGCGTGCCGACTCACAGTCCTGGGCCAGCAGTATGGCTCGGTTGGTGACGGCCTCCAGAGCCAGCCAGATGTCGGAGCGGTCCGGCCCGAGCACCAACAACGTCTGCAGGATGGAGAGCAGCTGGAGGGAGGCTGGAGAGCTGCTCACCTGCACACAGGAGCACACAGCGGCACGAGTAAAGCGGGTGATGGAAACGCGAGTCATTACGTCTGCTATCCTTCTAGCGGTCGGCTCTCGCACCTTGTTAAATAGGGCAGTGAAGACCTCCAGGTGATCGCTCATGTCGATGCCCCCGTAGACCCGCAGCAGCTCCTCCTCATCTTCAGCCATTGCCTCTTCAAAAGCCTCACATTGAATAATCAGGTCTTCATCTTCCTGCTCCCTGCACGCATAGAACGGGTGAGTTACACCAACACATTTAAAAAGACATTCCAATTATTTAAAAAAAAATGAAATAAATAACTGCAACGTCAAATCCAAAAAGTTCCACTTCCCTCTTAATGATTGTGGACTTTAAAATGACCTCGATATTGTAACTCAACTTGTTGGATAAACTCAGAATCAAATGAGAACAGACGGAAGGCTCACCTTAACTTTGGCAGAATATCGAGTAACTGGAGCCCTGCAGAACAGTAACAGCCTTGAGTATCACACTCAATTGGCAATATTTTAAGACAGTTAATCTCCAGAACGTGTCACCGATCCCCACGCAGTGGCATGTTAGCTTTGGGCAAATCAGCAGGAAGTCACAGGTGAGCAATCACACAAGAGGAGGGGCCTTACAATGACTGATTGGTCCAAGGTGGCGGTTGTCATTTTAATGTTTGTTTGCTTTTTTTCTGGAGGGGTTTACACGGCTGCTGCATCTACCACACTTTTTTCAAACTATCCCGATCGTGGTGACCTTTGGGAAAGAGGTCCGTTCCTACGCCCCGTTAGGTCGGCGTGATTCAAGTTCTGCTCTTTAAATGGAGATCTTTGAAACTCCTTGTTATCTGTGTGAAATGAAAGAACACGCGACGCTTCATACGCTTGAGGTTGTCTCAGTTCGGGGGGGTTTTCTTTGTGACAATGAGGCCATCAGACCTATTCTTAGCCATAAATAACAGAGCTCCTGCTGATGTCCTGCTTTCCAGCATCCATTCACTGCAGCGTGACTGTAGCCTCCCGACTAATTGTCAAACAGCAGCTGAATGGAGAACCTACCAATGAACTGCCTCCTCATCTTATCTCTCTGCCGGAGGTCATCTCTCCCGAAGATGAGGGCGTTGACGACGCTGAGGAGCGTGACCATGTAAGGGACGTTATCGCTTTCCTGCAGCTCGTTCATGATCACGCTGAAGCGATACTGCTGCGTCTTCACCCCCTGTAAGGAGAAATCAAACACGAAAGTCACCGACGTCATCAAGGAGCCGCGGGGGGGGGGGGGGATTCCGCGCGGGGTCGCAGTGCTTGTGCACGCAACCCACCGCTAGAGGGCGACGTTACGCCGGCGTCGCCTCCCTGACGGCGGCTGAAGCTTTTTTCAAAAAAATGGGGGAAATCGAGAGCGGCGAGTTTGAAGCGTCTCCTTGCCTTGTAGTGGTCCAGGGCGTCCAGGGCCAGCCGGTGTCCGTCCGCGGAGAACACGCTGAGGGCGGCGAGGAGCTCAAACACCTGCTTCTTCACCATGGTGTTGGAAGTGTCCAAAGCTGCGGAGCGTCATGAACACACACACACACACACTATCGGTTTCTCTTAAAAGAAAATCTCCGGTCACTAAAAATCCCCCCTTGTGTTTGGACAGCAACTCCGCCTGAACTTTGCCCTCTGAGGATGTTGGGTGGTACTTTAGATAAACACGTGTTTGTGTGTATCTAAGGGGGGGGGGGGATCCAATAATCAAAGCACAGTGTTAGGAATGTCCTGAAGCTACTGATTAATTGAAGTACAAGAAGCTGAGTGAACAGTTTCCACTCAGCGTGAGACATGTGACCTATTTAATTCCAAATTGGTGGTATTCTTTGGAATAATCGTGTTGTTTTAAATATCTTGTCCAAATTACTTTGTATATCATTTCTGAAGCAACCTAAAATATGGAAAAGTGAGCGGTGGATGTAATGGCTTTTCCCCCAAATGAAGTGTACGGTCAACCTTGGGAGAGCTTGCGGATGTATCCCTCGTTCTCTATGATGAAGTGGATCCCCGTGGAGGAGTTCATGACTGCCCTGACGCAGTTGACGCAGGTGAGCTGCAGGAGGGCGTCGGCGATGCGCGAGCATCCCCGCCCCGAAAGCCGGTCCAGGGCCTCCAGGAGGAGGTCCAGCCCGCTCAGCTCCAGGAACTGGACCATCCATGTCTGGTCGCTGCCCTCCAGGCGCCGCTTCAGCCCGGAGTAGTTGACCACGGTGGGAACCTGCAGCAGCCTGATGCACAGCTCCGGGTCGGCGCTCTCCAGGTTGGCCTCCAGCTGGGTGTCCGAGTCCTGCGAGGAGCCCAGGCGATCCCGGACCGCCGCCCACTTCTGTTTCCCGTCCGACTTCCCTGACATGGCGGCTGCGGAGGACAGAAGGGAACGAGATGACGAGGGGCCCTTTTCAGCTAGAATTTATCAGAAGTTCAGCTTGTTTTGGACGCCGGATGTCGTCTGTTTGCAAAGATAGCCGAGGGTTCTATTCAGTCATTGCTATCCAGACAGGCGGAAGCTGGCCAAAATACGGCCATGTCAGAAAGGAAAGAAGAATAGGAAACGATAACTCCACACTTTAGTGGATGATTAAAAAGGTATGTCAGCAGTCCGGTGACCACTAGCTCTGCCAAACATTCCTATCTAATCCTGCTTGAAAGAGAGGAGAGTTGTCAGCTGGTAAACACTCTCCGCAAAGCCCGGTTCAGTGCTGTCTGGGCGGCGTGTACCCTGGTTCGTCATGTGCAGACGCTTGTGACGGGCTAAAACATAGAGACGACTGTCCAGGAGAAACGTTTCACAAACATGACCCCAACATGCGTGACATTGGCGTGGATGCACGCGTTGATCACCACGAGTGCCTTTTTCTGGTAAAACCTCCGAGCACAGTGCAGCTCTTTATTTCATCAAACCGCCTCCCCCACAAGCTCCAAATAACGATCTGCGTCGATGCAGGTTACAAGTATAAGCACGTCCCCGCATTATTAAAAAATGTTAAATTAAGAGCTTGGGACGAAAAATGGGGGAAAGCTTTCTTCAAAGTTGAAATTTCTTTTCTCTCTCAGTGGTTTGTAATAAAAAAGAACAAGCGTGAGCGGTGCTTCTGCCTCCTGCTGTGGATTTCACACTTGGCAGACATAAGATACACAGACGAGGCATCGAGGGATGAGCCCGTACAAGCGCAATGCTCTGTTAAAAGGTCGTTCGTGGAGCCAATCTGGGAGGAGTAATAGCTTTCAACAGATTTTTACCTTCCAAACGATGCCGGGACCCACTCAGAGATCCTGCCGCTTTATTCGCCGTTTCATGTTGATTTGGTGTTTTTGTTCCTCGGTAAAATAAACACAGCAAAACTCAAATGGGGATTTTTCTCCTTTCTAAAAAAAGGTAACGAGCAGAAGTGGAAAAATCGGAAAGAATTGCGTTTGCGCCCACTCGGCATGAATCAGGGCGAGGACTCGTCTTTGCTTGCACGTTGTGGCGAGGCGTTTGTCAGCGCTGAGTGCAGCGTCTCAGCCCTGCTGCCAGTGTGAGAGTGTTACCGTGGCAGCCAGCAGACAGACAATGGCGTTTCACAAGAGGCCTTCTCAATACTCATCAAAGGGCCGCGTTCACAAGATGGACGCGTGACTCGCTGCGCCGCGGCCCGATAGGACTTCATGTCCAGAAAAACAGTTCAACACTTTCTGATTCCACAGCTTGATGTTTAGTGTGAGAGAATTTAATGGGAAAAAGAGGAAGTCTTTCCAATAGATGAAGGGGTGTGGTGCGTGCATAAACCGCATGACTCTGGGACTCTTGGTTGGGGAGGAAAGGACTTTCCCTGCACAGGAAGCTGGAGATAAACACGCGGATGTGACAGCTCCTGTTCTTCTCTGGAAACTGCTGTTTTCGTGGCCGATCACCGACGTGCGTTTTTTCGGTTCATGACGCAAACAATCTGCACGACACGCCAAGCGATGCCCAACTTCAACTGTGACGGGGAAAAACATTTGCCACATTCATCTGAGCATTCCTTAAATATCAAAGAACATTTTTTAATTCCCCCGACCCCGTCCGTCAAGTCTCCCACGTGGGCCGCTAATAGCCTGGCGCTGATTCACTGGACAAACCTCCTCATCTGTCCTCCGGTTCAACCGCCCACACACAGCAGCCCACTGCTTCTGTGCAACACCTCGGGACAGGCAGAAAACATCCTCGCTGACTTCCTCCGAGGCGCGTGCAAAGCTGGCTTGCACTGATGCGAGTCAGCAATAATACATGAGTGAATTCAATAATAGCTTTAGGGGGATGAATATCAGTTTTAAAGCATGCACACCTCCCTGCATTTGTTTACATGCATTAAAATACCAGATGTAAAACAAACAATGGGGGGGTACGTGTTGTGTTTTACATCTTGATCACTGACATGATAGTGGATGTCATGCTGTATATTACTTGTAACACAATGTCGCTTGGGAATTGCGTAACTGTAGATAATGATGGAAGCTTCATCCGCGCGGCAGATTCTATTATTATTCCCAGAGTGATTATTCCAACATAAAACATCCGGCAGTCGTTTGACTGATAACCTACTCCCCTCCATTCTCTGCTATTTAAGGGAGTGACCAAAAAGTACACAAGCACATTGTGGAGTTGAAATTGATCTTTTAGTTGTAGATTCCTGTATTGTTAATATTACAGGTCCGTTCAGCAATTACCAGATTGGGTTTAACATCTGCCCATTTGCAGATGAATTGACAAGAGTCCACGCAGCTTTGAAACTGGAATTACCCGTTGAAGAATTTGTGTCCAAAGTGTTTTTTCCTCCTCCTCGTTCTGTCCGAGGAGAGGAGGGTTGAGAGGAGCCACGTCTTACACAACACATTGGCACACAGGAATGCACAACAACAGTTTGCCCATCTGAATTGTGCATTAACTCATTATGATTAAAACAATAACCCACAGACCTTAGTAGCAACATCTACGTTGTGCAACAGCGTTACTTTGCGCTGCCGTTTATTCCCCGCAAAGCAAAGAGCATAACGGGACTACAGTCCCTCACTTGGGGGAGGAAGACACGGCAGAAAAAAACAGCGATAAAGCGTATGGTCCCTCCTCGTAATGCCTTGGTGCATCGTTATAGATCACATATAAACCGACTATGACAACCCTACCTGATTTTTAGTCCATGAACGCGAAGACAGTTTACAGATCCGCGTCCTGCGCGGGGGTTAAATCGGGTCGCGCTTTCCTGTCATCCGGACTTTTCTCTTTTTTAATCGGATCGATACGTCGGCGTGAAGCCCTGCAGGTATCGGCGCGGTGTTGCACCCCGGATCCCGTGTGGTGCGCGCAGGGCACCGTTTTCAAAAACGTTGCGGCCCCCGGGGCTTTTTATCCGAGACGGACGGCGTCGAATGAAGGCGGCGGCATTGGGTTCGCTACAGCATCCGGTTGAGACCTTCAGAATAAAGCGTGTGCGTAACTGTCAGCGCGGATTTATTCGTTGAGATCCACGCAGATGAGATGGCGTTAACGCGTAGATTAGTCAATTGTCCCTCTAATTAGCGTTATATGGTAACGTTGAATCGAGAGGTAAAACAAAGTATCACTCCTGAGGAAAAAATAAATGACAAAAAAATAAATGAAAAGACAAATGACAACGATAACAAGATATTAAGTAAGATTTGGGTTTACAGAGTCTACAAAGTATTAAACAAATTACAAATGGAGAAATGTTGCCCGTGAAGGGATCCAATCGGGGTATCTAGATTTTAGGCTTAATAATATTTTCATATGTTCACGTTAGGCCACAATTTACCAAATTGAAACATGAAAGTGAAACTGCTAACTATAAGATCAACCTGGCAACCATGGCTGGAGGAATGACCTGTGATCAAGGTGGATTCATCCAGATGTGAGAGATCTGTCTGCATATCCTTCGCACCCAAACAGGTTTCGGTGGACATTGTTTTATTGTGGAGGCAGAACTGCCGACCTTCCGGGGTTGACGGACCTGCTGCTTTCTGGCTTGAAGCTGATTGGGATGCGAAAATGCAGCCCAGTGGTCGAGGGTCCTCCTCCAATACTCCCCCATCCCATCAGCTGGAATGGACCTCGGGCGGACATTACCCAGTTTAATGGGCCAGTACAAGTTGCCCATCACAAAAGGAGCTCAAGGAATGTCATTTTCTCCAGAGACAGCGGTCTAGTTGTTGTAGCCCCGTGTGGCCCGAGGCAATTGAGTTTACTAGAGTTTCACTGCCCCAGAAAGAAGTAGCCACAGTAAGTGACAAAAGTATTGTCCCACTACTTAGGCGTGCGTACAATATGACGTGTTGTTTCTCCACAACCAGCTGCAAGTTGTACTCAAGTTACGACATCAAAGAATATGCAGGATGGCTTTTGTTTTGAACGGAGCAACAAAAGCCATCTTAGGTGGTCAAACAGGTTCATGAAAGCCAGTAGAAAGCAAGCTCCCAAAATATGTCAGGCGACATTACTTTCATTTATTGGTGTAATGAGCCCATGCAGGGATTTGATTTTCATCCAAGCTTTTAGGCAGAAAGTAACTTTTAAACCACTCGTCCTGCTGTCAAACCTTTTACCTTGAGGACCTCTATAAAGGCGTTGCAGAGATTATAGTTGGTAGGATTTAGTTCTACTGTGTTCGTCCACAGGGAACCTTGGAGAAACACTTTAGGTTTCCCTTCAACAAAAAGGGTCATTAAAAATGCTCAATAGAAGCCAGTGACACGGCTCCTCTGGATTAATATCCTGACAGAAGTCAATCCTTTTGAAATTGACTTGATTTTATTATATTTTACAAGAACCGAGCTGTTGAATGTGATGTCAGGGATGTTACGGATACTGCATCGCTCTGGTGTGATCTGCTGTCACAAAACCACACAACAACAACAACAGTCCCTTGTCTGGAAAACAAGCAACAGTTCATCCTTCTTTTGAAAGCTTCACCAGGGAGATTAAAATAGCATTTATTTTACACTATTAATTGTGGTCCAGCGATCCTCATGCAAGAGAGAAGCACACTAAAATAAACAAACAAACCATGAGAACTCTGCTGTTTTGTTCACCTATGGTTATAGGTGAACTAAACAGCAGAGTTCTTGGTTTACATTCGACAATTGATACTATGCACTTGATACTATAATTAAGTACTAAAAGCTAAAAAGACAAAACCCTTATTCTAATGTAAACCAAGGTGGAGCCCGGTTGTGATATCATTCTTTTAAAACTCAATCGCCATGGCGATATACTGATACTGATCATTTAAAAGAACTGGTGTTTACGTTGGCTGAGCACTTTGTACTCACTACAAAAGGTTAAGCAAATAGCTTAAATATTCAAATATACAAAGTCCCAACTGACAGATTTTGCCTACATGCTTATATGAAAAAAATGTGACCACCGTTTTTACTCCCAATTCAGAATATTTCTAAAGGCCTAAAAAACCCCAAATCATTATGATGCTGTAAAGGTTTGAATAAAATGTATGAAACACGCTAACTGTGTTGACAAGACTAAAAAAAACGTTCAAACAAGTTACAATATTTGGACCGGTAAAACATAAATCCCTAAGTTTACGATGTAGTCGAAATCTGCATTTAACCCTCCTGTTGTCCTCGGGTCAAAATGACCCGCCACTGTGGTAAAACCCCCCCAAAAATCCCCTAAACGATATTTTTTTAACTTGAAATTTTATGACTTTTCCTTTCCATGTGAGCTGTACAAAAAAAGGTACAAAGGTGGTCTTCGGGTCAAAATGACCCATGAGGCAAATAGAGTTGAAATCAAGGTCACAGAGTTATTTACACACCACAGAATGTTACAATGTTTCAGTTGTGTCTCAGATCAATCAGTAGCAGAAGTAACCAAGACAAATCAGGTGGTCCTCTCACAGACTGCTGTCCAAAGGTTGTTGCCCTCTCCGGCAGTATATGCCCAGCAAGCCAGCAAAATATGGGAATCTTGATGTGACAGATGAACTCAGGGGTCACAATGTGACGTGTGACAGTTTCTTCACCTCGTATGAACATGGACAGCAGCTCCTGAAGAGGAAGATCACCATGGTTGGTGCAGTTCGAAAGAACAAGCCTCAGCAGAAGCCTCAGCAGAAGTTGTGAAAGCTATTCAGAGTGCAGGAGCTCCTGATCAACCTGAGGATCCAGCTACTACAGCCACTTCCTCAGCTGGGGCAAGTAAGAGGAAGAGATGTCAGTTCTGCCCTCAAAAGAAGGACTGTAAAACACATACCGTGTGCTGCAGGTGTAAAAAATATATCTGCAAAGGCTGTGCACTTGCATACTGCCCTACATGTGCTCATTAGTTGAATTGGTTATGTTAATTTTCATATTTTTGTATTGTACATTGTCCTAAATTGTTCACGAGAAAAAAAAAGAAAGAAACTGAGTCATTGGGATGAATAAAGATTTTTCTTTTCTTAAGCTATACAAATAAAGTGAAGAGGGAAAACTGAGGTAGTCACACATTTTGTGGTGAATGGCAAGTTGTTTCTTCAAGCAAGATTAAAATTTGGTGTTTAAAATTCAATTAAGATGCTTATATGGGGGGTTTAGTGAAGACGGGTCATTTTGACCCGGAGGACACAGGGTGTATACAGGAAATGAGGACAACAGGAGGGTTAAACAACGTCTGAGCAAAACAACGGAGTAAAAAACTACATTTCCCAGGCTGCACTGCAACACATTAGTTGAGAGGTCGAAGACGTCAAACGCACGCTTCCCCGAAACAACAACAAACCGCTGTATCTGTATCTATCCCATTGTTCTGTGTTGTTATCGTGGCTCGCTGTTTGCAGAAATGTCCGCAAAGGCCAAAGATATCCTGAAGATGGATCTGTACGGTTTACTCGGCATTGACATCACCGCTACATCGAAACAGGTGTGTAAGTAAGCTAGCCGTTAAGCTAGTTAGCTCTGAGCACAGTCGTTATTTTACACGCGCGTCACAGAAGGGACCCACGCTGCTTCGGCAGATATCTTTACCAAACCGTTGGCTAAACTAACGTGACATGTCACAACGGTTGTGTTTGCACAAGGGCCGACTGGCGTGACGCGTTAGCCTGTTAGCAGCAGGCTAACGAGGCATTAGCTTGTCGCATTGGAGCCTGTTTAGCAGTATGTTTTGAATGAATGCCCCGCGCGTGTTACCTTGACACGAGTCTTTCTCCGCGAGGGGAGAAAAGCGAGGTGAGCAGGGCTGAAATAACCGGGTGGAAAAAGACCTAAAGTCCGGTTTGTGGCTGTGTGGTGAAGGTGTCGTGCGCCGAGGAGGCCACACGGTGGCGACGTTGGATCAGTTTAGGCTTTCGTGAGAGCGACGTGAAAGGCCTTTGGTGATAATCTATATATTTTCGGCTGAAATCAGTTTTGATCACATAGTCAGTCAGTTTTTTCCCGATTAAATACAAGCAGAAATGTTGAGTTATGTTTAAAATGACCCATAATCCAAAACCCACGAATATATTAAATTTAATATGATTTTGAAGAGGGAAAACCAGCAAACTATCACCACGAAGAAAATGAGAATGTCTGGCATTACTCTTTGATTAATAGACTATTATATATATATATATATATATATATATATATATAATTATATTATATTAATTATGTAAACTCTTAAGAAATTGGCAATTGTATAGATACTAAATTCATTTATGTTTTTTAGTCCACCAACCTGTCTAAACGGCACATCTGATCACCAATACATGATGAGGCCTGGCAGATGCTGTATTACTATGGGCAACCTTCTTTTGGATGGATTTTGAATCAACTCCTAATGTACTTCATTTCCTACTCCCAGAGTGGTTTACCATAATGTTCTCAATCCCGCTTTTTCCCCAAGACCCCCTCTCATCACAGTTTCCAGCATCAAGAATTCCACAAGCCCAATGGGAAAATTAAAATTGCGGGCGAAATGAGGGAAGGCTGTAATTTCTTAATTGGATTTCAAAGTCCTGTCCTCCCCGGAGGACGATCCTGGAGGAAGTTAGCGGTTATGGCTCGGGTAGAATCGAGACTCTCAAAATGCAGAAAGCTGGTTCTGTGAGGTCTGTCGATGTGCGTTTGTGTGCGTGTTACATTACGTTAAAAAGTGCGTGGAGACAGATGCCATCAGATGGGCTACTAATCCCAGTTTTTTCAGCTGCTGCTCCACCACCTCCATCAGGCATGTTCTTCAGTGGAAGAAGCGCGTCCCACAGCCTGTTTATGTGGCCTCTGCCACAGCTTCTAAAACGTCGTCTCGACAGTAGAAGTCTTGCGTATGCATCTCCTCCATGTTCTATGTAGCAACCTTTTCTCTTATTGGCTGGCTGATTAGATGACTATAGATGCTGAGTGCTGCTGGAAGCCGATACCGAGGCCTCTCCACCATCTAAAAAGTCATTCCCATGCATATCAGCGGGACTTGGGTAATTATTGCCAAGTGTGTGTGTACCTACCACAGATTGCTCGGTGAGATAATGGTAACAACCGAGACCACACAAAACGTATTTTGCTTTATTCAGCTTGCAGTGTACGTGTGGACAGAGCATCAGAGGACAGACGAGGACGAGCTTCTTCTTTGAGTGTCTGCTCGGTCAGAGTAGGTGGATTATGTTGCATCTGGTGGTGCACTGGGGCACCTTACCAGCCAAGCATGTGGTCATCTGGAGTTCCAGGTCTTTCAACACGAGACGGCAGCGCCAAAGCCAAGTTACCTTTCAGTTACAATTAGTCTGAGGTCACGAATCCCGCTGTGAGCATTGGCCTTCAAAGTGAACGTAGGGTCGTCCTGCCTTAATGCGGAGTATGACTGGCGCTTTGTTCCATCAGGTTCACAATCACACAACCACATGAAAAGTCCATCACAGTGTCTCACTGTTTCCCTTCATTACATCCCGTTTTTCTTATTAGGTGTGGTCACATTGGCCCTGTCTCCGCTCCTCCTCATCCTTTTACCCGCTGCGCCTATTATTGTTATTATTGTCCTCCAGCTGATAATGTCCCGTAAATAGCAGAGCGTTGTAATTAAGGAGGATGGGCCCATGGCAGATCAGGCAGCTAATCAGCCGCACAGACTGGGACCAGTTTGTCAACTGTAATTGGCACCAGAGATGTAATGAGGACAATATGTGGACATGCAGTTGGGAGCGGTGCAGGCGGGGATCAAGAAGGTGCACACAGTCCAACCATGAGGCTACTGTTGGCCTTCTGCCGCACGATCGCTCTTTTCCCTTTGAGCTCTCTGCAACTTCTGTTAACTGAAGCGTGGGAAGTAGTTGACCTTTCTGCAATTACATTTGCATTGAGAGAAGAAAAAAGGTGAAAATCTTGAATAATTCAATTTGAAAGAGCTAAAAACAAACCTTCAAAAGCTGGCACGCTCTGGCTTCCACTTTGTGGAACCAAAGGGGCTCCGGGGTCTTCCAGCGTCGATTAAGGCCGGCGCGTTACGGCATCGATGGGAGTGATCATGTACTATTTAACAAAACGGCTCTGGAGGCAAAGTGGAGGAAAGATACGGCTTAGAGTGCCCGAGGGAGTAACACGGAACAAGAGAGGAAGAGGAGGAGAGCGGAAAGGAGGATGGATAATGAGCCGGCATGTGGAAAGAGTCCGTAGATCTCCAACCGCCGACCAAAATGTCATTATTGTTTGCGAGGAGGAATTGTAGTGCACACATCTCGTATCAAACTGCATTACTGGTTCACTACGGTGGATTTTCTGCTATTATATAATTGATATTTTTTGGTTTCATGGATGTTTTTGTAATCGAACATATGGACGTTTATGGAAACCAACGGCTGCTTGGACATTTAGTGAAAAGTTCCCTCGACGTCTACTACCTGGATTTGGTGTGGACGTCGAAAAATGGACATCAAATTTCAGTCGAAGAACCAAAAGTGTTAACGCTCTTTATATAGACTTTTTAATAGAGTTGTGTCTCTATGATGTCAATCTCTTTCAAAGCAAGAACAAAGTAACATTTGAACTCTAGCTTGGGTTTCTTTTTCCCTCTTTTGTTTCGTACCTAACTCCACGAGAGTCTTTTGGATAAATTCGGACAAAGCCACAGAGAAAAAGAAAAGGGAGAAAGAGACAGCGGGGCTAAAAAGGGGAAATGAGCTTAGGCCAACAGAAGGCATACTCTACGTGTTTGGCTCCGGTCCACAGCCCCATGTGTCGGTTTGGATCTGTAGGATGGCTCCGTCTGCCAAGCAGCAAGACACAAATTATTCCTAGTCTCGCAAAGCCCTCTCGATGAACCGAGTTCTCATTTACTGGAACTACAAATAAGACAAAAAGTTCTCAGAGCGATAGATGGGCCACGCAGGGCCGCAGAAGTTCACCGTAGGCCCGGTGCTATCGTGAAATCGCGCCTTGGCCCTCGGACACGGTGGCGGCCGCCCAGACGACGTGGGGGCGCGACTTGAGCGTATGCGCGAGCGCGGAAACGCGGCGGTGCGTGCGAGTCCTTGGCGTGCGATCGGTACGAGCATGTGTTTTCTGAGGGTTTTTGCGGCGGAAGCCTCAGCGCCGCGCTCTACAGCCCCCTCTGGTCCGCACGGAAAGCCTCGCTGCGTCTTCCCTTCCTCTACGCGGAGGAGCCGAGACCTAATGAAAACCACCTTGTCATTAACTGGTCCCCAGGAGGACCAACGAGTGGTTAACATTCCCAGCAGTGACCTGGAGTTAAGAAATCAATAACTAAAGCCTCGTATGACATTACAATACTCAAAAGTAATGTTTAGATTTTCCATTTTGCCTCTCTGAAACCCCCCCCCCCAAAAGGTTTTGGCCCGCTGCCTAAGATATTAATGGCAGCCTTCTCGGCCGCGTTAAAGACAATGGCACTCTGTTGGTGCGTGTTATTGTAACGTTTAGTACATTTCGAATAAAGGTGGACGAATACTACTACTCTGCAACTCGGGACACATTCATCTCGCAGACTGGAAGCGGGCCTGAAAATAGTTTTTGGACTTGTTTGCGTAACTCACTGTGGAGTTTGTGCCGAGTCCATTCGTCGAAAGCACACGATCCGCACACGGGTGTCAGTTTGATCCGCACAATGCGATCCCTTTTCATTTCATTTAAATGCGGCTCGCCTTTCAGCCCCGGTGCTTTCATGTGTGACTGTGACCATTTGTGCCATGATTTCAACGAGACCAGCTTTTTTCACTCAGACGTTAGTTTTCTGGGCCAAGGACGAACGGATAGAGACAATTGGTACAATTGGACAATTGGAGTCTGAGTATAAAAATTCTTTCAAATGCCCAATCAACATTTTCCACCCTATCAAACTGGTTCTTCTGTTGTTCTCCCAGATCAAGAAGGCTTATCGACTCAAAGCCTTGACGTGCCATCCGGACAAGAATCCGGACAACCCAAAAGCAGGTGAGTGAGCCTGTTCCACACGCCATCTCCCCCCCTCCCCGAGCGTCCTCTCTGTCTCCCCGTCAAACCAGAACAAGCTGTGTTATCTGTGTGTACAATTTCTGCGTTGTTTTCGGACGAATCAGCATTGATTGTCTGACTGAGTCGCTGTGGAGTCAGCGAGTTGCCCCCCCGCCCCCCCCCCACCACCAGACGGCCGAGCCACAGAACTTAGTAGAGGCCGCGTCTCCTATCGTCTCTCCACTCAGACAGGACCAGGCGAACACCACCACCATCGCCACCGGCCTCTCCGCACTCTCCACACTCCATCCCCACTTGGCCCGAGTCCTTCTGCGGCCTGTCGCCAACCAGCGTCTCTGCAGTTGCAGCAGGAAATCCCAATGTAGCTTTTTTTTTTTTTTTTGTTGGCAGGGTAAAAAAAACAACAACACAACCCCCCCCCCCCCCAAAAAAAGTCACCTCGGACAAAAGAGTGGTCTGAGGCCTGCTTTCATGTGAGGTCTGTGCGGTTTCTGGACGGTTCAGAGAATTCCTGACCATGTCGAGGGAAGAAAAACAACGGGGAAATTGGTGGGGTTTGGTGGGTTGAGCGGGATAATGCGAAAGCAGGGGGTCGGTTTTCCCTGAAATGGAAAAGAAGCGGTTTGGAGGCCCTCAACACTTGAACCCACACATGAGCAGACGCCGTCTCTATCGCACGAGAGCGGAGCGGGTCTCGGGGGGGATGCTGCTCCTCGGGGGGGGGGAAAGTTATATGCGTGTAAGAGGTGACGTGGGGGTCATGGAGCCTTACTGACGGAAGAACCAGCACCATGTTGTCACACTGCCCAGAGGGCACGGCAGGTCTCCCACCGTCGGATCTCATTCCAGTCCGTTACATGCGTGTAGGTAACATGACAGGCAGCGCGATCTCCAGACCTCCTGTTAGTGCTCACTGCCAGTCCCCGCAGGGGGTAACAGTATCGCCCCGTTAGCCCCCCCCCCTCATCGGTGAATGATTAAGCCTGTCTAGAATACCGTGGCGGATGTGCGATGGAGATCGCAATTGTGGCCTCCCATAAGTGTGCGTGTGCACGTGTTTTTTTTCGAGGTAGGGCCACGCGTCGTGATGGCGGTCGTGTCCCCACGAGGTGCTCCGATGGAAGACGGACGGAAAGGCCGACCCGCTCTGCGTCCGAGTGCGCGTCCGTGTGATTGGAGAAAAGAGTTTTTCGTGATACTTGCAGCACTTTTTTGCGCGTTTCAGCCCCGTGTCCGAGATAACACGCCGCGCACATAACGCCTCTTTTGCCACCAGCCCCTCCCCCCCACCCTCTAGATGCAATGTTCCTCTCACGCAACGTCGCCTTATTTTCTGTCTCTTGCCTAAGGCAATTCACAGTTAATCTGAGCCACTCGTGTCCTTGTGTGAGAAACTAAAGTGTGCTGGGTTTTCATTGTTTTCTCGTCCGTTTTTTCTAGTGGAGCTCTTCCACCAGTTGTCCCAGGCTCTCGAGGTGTTAACCGATGCTGCCGCCAAGGTGAGGCTCCTGTTAAGTCATAGCTGCTGATATACACTCGCACACAAAGCGCGATTCATCCTGATTCAATCCTATTTTCAGGCTGCCTATGACAAGATCTGCGCTGCCAAGAAACAGGCAGAAGAAAGAAACCGAAAGTTGGATGATAAGCGAAAGAAAATTAAACTCGGTGAGTTCATCTAATTAACAAAAACACCAGGTAATACCTTTTGACATATTTGGACAGCATAGATTGTCCGGCAGGAAATCAAACAAAAGCGGCTTTTAAGGAAATAATTAATTTTGGATTTTTTTAATTTGTTTTTTGTCTCTCGTCACATTTCATCTTTGTGCGTTTTTGTTTTGCTATCACAGACTTGGAGACCAGAGAGCAACAAGCAGAAGCTCTGAGCCAGGACGAGTGGCAAAACACGAGAACACTTGAGGAAGAAGTAAGAGAATCTTTAGAAAAGACTTGAGCGGTAACAACGCACCAGACATTGCCTCTACAGGATGTCAAATTCAAAACCAAAATGTACGGGGAAGACGGTATTCCTATGCTCCCTGATTCAGATGAAATCTTCCAAAGACTTGAATAGAATAAAGAATAAAAATGGTGTGAACGCTTCCCAGGTCAGTCTGTGCTCGATGTGCTGAAGGCATATAGATGCCTTGGGGGTGGGGCAGGTAACCAGTAGGTGGCACTGTTACATTTTTTTTAAAGGAGTTGTAGCCTCGACTGTAGGCTGCCTGCACCCTCTCCTGGAATCACAGAAGAGCAGACGGGGTGTCTTTTAGAAGGCGAGAGTCGTGCAGGTGACGAGTTACATCGGCGCCTGGCGAACAATCGAGAATCACCGCTAAAGCAAAACTAGCGCGTCTCTCTGCGCGCGTCAACCGTGTTGCATGCGTCTGTTTCTACCAGATCGCCCGGTTGAGAGAGGAGGGATCCCGGCAGCTCGAGGAGGAACAGCGGCTCATCCGAGAGCAGATCCAGAGAGAGCGAGAAGACGAGCGGCCGCAGACTGGGGACAGACGTAGGTGTACTTTGGGGGGGGGAGATTTAACCCAGTCCGGCCCGCTCCTGTCCAGGTTAACCAGAACCAGTTTGGCTCAGCGCTGCTCTGCTTGGACGAATCCAGTTTGATCCGGTGGGGTCCTGCTACACTCGTGAAAAACCTCCGCTTCCAGCCATCATACTGCCAGTCAAACCACAACAGTCTCCAGGCTCCCTAATGTTCGCCAAATATCACTCACATAAAAATAACTGAATGTATTTTTGAATTTATGTTTGGCGCTTTGAAGAGCTCTATTTCGTTTTTTGGCAGTGAGGCGGTGGAGCGTGGTAACCGAGCAATGCCCCCCCCCCCGCCCGCCTCACACACACACACACACACACCATTGAACTTTTAACCGCCTGATAATACTTTGGCTTTGAAGCTGCACTCCAATTCGGAGAAGTGAAAAAAGAAAAGCGTGCGTGTGAATTCTTGGGGAGTACTGATTCTTGGCCCACGGACTACAATCCATTTTTGTGGCTGGACGATCACTCATGCACAGTCAGCACGTCTTTCGAGGCTCCTGCGTTTGCACGCAGTCAGGCCTCCCCGGCCCTGCACTCAATTAGTGCTCGGTCTGCCCCCCTCAGTGGCTCCTCAGGCTGCACCAAGGGCCTTACTTTTACCACACGAAGACCGAACCCTGCTGTCAATCTGCTTGAGTTCCATGCGATCTTGACTGCTGCAATTGTGTCCTTGTCTTTTCACTTGACTAACGCTTTTCCTTCTTCCTGCGTTTGTCTCTGATTCAGGGGGGGAGAGATGTTCCAGGAGCGGCGTGACCCCCAAATTGAAGGTACGGCTTGCCGTGTGAGGCTCTAGTCGAGGGGCGAGTCAAAGGGGTCCGGGTGATGGTCAAAGAGCCACACATGGAGATGGAAATGGAACCTCAATGGGGATTTTGAAAAAGGAACATAAGCCATTTGTAATTCATTATTTGGAGACCACATGCGCCGTCTCCCCGCTGTGCGCTCAGGCTGTCCGGACGCCCAGTCCTCCTCAGTAGGCCTGACCTCCTCCGGAGACCTGTAACTATGCAGAGAGCGAGCTCGTCATCTTTCCTCCTGGAACCTGCTCAGCCTGTGCACATTAGCGAACACTGGGGATGTTTGCTAATGTGTTTAGACATTAGATCTTAAAATCTGATCTATTGCAGCAGTGCTTCCCCCCCCCGACAATTGTGCATTCGGTCAGAAAAATAAAAAAAACGCATTGGTTACTGCACAGATCTCAGAGCCTCGGCTCTTGTCAGGTTGACAATTGAAGGAAGGATTACAATTCTGTGTTTTAATTGCAGTTTTCTTTAAACATATTTCTTATGTTGTCTCTAGACTTGGATTGAGAGTAAATTTGAATAAAATAATTGAACACCTGATCTCGCTTTGACACAAATTATGCATTTTCTGTCCTCATTACTAAAAAAGCCTCTCCTTCTTGTCTCCTTTCTCATTCTAGTTAAAGTGGAAGTGTAAAAAAGATGACGAGACACATGGAGGCTACTCTCAAGACATTCTTTTCAAACTTCTACAAAAGGTACATAATGATCGACAAAGGACTTTTATTTCTGTCTCTTCACACAGCAGAGTATCAGCAAAGTACCATTTGGGATTGAATAACATTATGAATAACCCTTGAGGCTTCTAAGAAAATTACCTCTTTGTTTGGATATTAATAGCAGTGTTGTAAATTAATGAGCGAGACTGCTTTACGGGAATTTTGCATTAATTTGATGAAGTATAAATGTGAGGAATTTAAATAACTTGATTAAACAGAAACACTTATACCAGTATTTAATCTATGAATTACTTTTCTGGAAATTCAATATATAAGGATAAATATTATTAGTCAAATTTAAAATTCCATCAGTTGTATAATGGAATTTGATCCCCTTATCCTTGCTATCCCATAGCAGAGCACCGCGGTAAAGAAACCCAAACATTGCCTGCAGAGTCCGGCCGTATTTGAGGTCTGCATGACATCAGCGCTGTAGATTGTTTTATTCTTCCCCTTAAACAAGCCCATTAAGTTTTGTTGCAATGAAAGTGCCACGGGGCGATGCTTTAAAGTCACGCACGCCATTGTTAGTGCCCCGCTCACCAGGCGATTAACCAGTGCCACGGGAGGCATTAGGAAATGTGCTCTTCACATGCAACCCGGCAGCGCCGTCACGAGGGCTCTCGGTGGGCCGCAGCTCGGCCCGAGCGGGGCGGGCAGGGAGGGCGTCGGCGACGCCAGGCTGGCCGGAAAGAGACGTGTGAATGGCTCCTTTGCACGAAGCCAATCAATATGCTTCCAGGGCCGTGTCATCACACATGCTGCAGGGGAAAATAAAAAGTCTTGTTCCTTTCTTTGGGGGGGGAGGGGGAGGGGGATTCTCATTCAGGAAGTGCATTTTAGGTAAAGATTGTGTTTGAAATGGCGAGCTCCAATGAGTGACAGATTATGTTTTGGGCCATTCAAAATAGCCCCTGCTGTGTGGGAAAGTATTTTATGTGTGTACTTGTGCAAGCGTACGTGTGCAAACTTGTGTTCTTTGGCAGCTAGAAAATAATTTGTCATTTAAGGGGGGGGTAGAAAAACACGTTTAATATTTATGTTCTATGAAACCGAGGCCTTCTGAGAGTCTCTTTTGTCCCTGTTGGCTTGCTTCATGGTGTCCCTCGTAGACATTCGCATTCCTGGACTCTCCCTTTCCCAGAAAGCTGCATTTTCACAGCGATTCTCCGAGGCCACGTCCGTCCTGCTCCTGTCCCACTAGCGTCAGCCGGAGAGCGGTTTCAGACAAAATGCCTCAGTTAAAGATGATGAAAAAAAAACCCCAGCGGGATAAAGAGAGAAAAAACCTGACTGGGGATCAGGTTTAAATCTCCCCTGCTAAGGCGGGTTTCTTGTCTTCCTCCCCTTCAGACAGCGATCTGGGAATGCCCGAGATGCTCCTTGCCCTGCTCCCCCTCTTCGGCCAACCTTTCCTTCCTGTTTTGATTTGAGAGCGAGGATTTGGTTGCGAGAGATTTCTAATGGCAGCTTTCATCCAAAAATGTTGTTTATCAAATGCAATTTCACAACAAACGGCTAAGATTATCCAACATGGCCTCCCGTCTCGCTGTTGTACATTATGTTCGATGCACTGTTACCAACTCGCACAAACACCCATCATTAGACATCAGCTTTCATGGCCTTGAATCCTGACTTTTATTGCAGAAGTCTTTTTTTTATACTCATGCATGTGCTTTGTGTTTCTCATGCTCACGGGCTTTGCTGTGAAAGGAGATACTAATTTGACTGCATGTACTGTTCTGCATTCTCTCTCTCTCTCTCTCTCTCTCGCTCCCTTCCTTTGACATTTGTTTTTACTCTCTCGTTTCTTACCTCTAGTACGGAGACGTCTCGAACGTGATCGTGTCGAGCAAGAAGAGAGGAAGCGCCGTGGTCGAATTTGCGACTGTGAGAGCGGCTGTAAGTACCCCACTGCCCCCTCCTCCCCCTCATGCAGCCGCACGTGTTTGCCGCTTACTTTGCTCCCTGGTCACCTGCTGGGTTTGGTTCGCACTAAGAAGGACAGCTTTCGTGCGCTTGCCGGCTTCGGCACCGTTGCTGCGGCTCATGTTTTAGTCGTTCCGATGGGACGCGTTGGACGGAAGAACCTGAGCCGCTGCGTTGTTCCACACTGTCTGGACCCTGAGGCCCTTTGTCTCGATGATGGACCGTCCCTGCTGTGGGTTTTTACTCCCCACAGCGTGTGGTTTCCCCTCCAGAGAACATGGCTGCCCATCTAAAGGGGTCCGCAGGTTCTGTGCGCGCTGCCCGTCCATCTCCAGGACCCACCGTTGTCCTCGTCTTCATGTGTTTTTCATACCCGGCGTAAGAAGGATAGCAATTTATGTCTTAAGCCGTCCAGACAAGCAGAGTGTTTTTTGTTTGTTTGTCCTAATATGACACTGCTAGAGAAACAAAAACCAAAGATTTTTTTTGTGTTTTTTTTTTTTTTAGGAGCTGGCAGCTAAAAATGAAATTGGCCTGAGTAAAAACCCCCTGAAGATTTCGTGGCTTGAAGGACAACCCGAGGTCATTGTTCCAGTCTCTCAACCCGGCCAGTTCATACATTCCCAGGTACCAGTCGCACCATCGCAAATCATGGCCGTAACCCTTTTACTTTGCCCTCGTGGTGCCCCCCCCCCCCCCTCCCTCCTCCCCGCGTGGTCTCGAACAACGTGTTTAGTTTAAAACGGGGCTCCGTTTGTTTGATTTGGAGAGGCGAAGGCGCCGGCCCGGTACCGCCCGGTACCGCCCCCTGGAGCCCGACCGGTCTGCCATGCGCTCACAGGCCCGACCCGGGGGGGGGGGGTAGACCCCAGGAATGCTGCAACGGAGGCCGGGGGGCCGCCAGGCTGACCCGAGTGATTCGTGCCTCCGTCTCTAAACTGCTATTGATTAAAACAGGATTTGAGAGTTATTTATTCGCCCACTTGGATGTGTGGGCGTTGCGTCTGGTACATGTGAAAATCGCGGTAGTCCAAGCTTAACCTTTTTTAATTTGATTTGCACGCCTACTATATTTCGTCACTCAGACACCCGTTAACACTTCCTGTTCAAACAATAATCTAATTTCAACCGCTTCATTTTTTTTCCTTTATTAGATTAGTGTGAGCTAATGTATTTCTCACCCCCTGTGTCCATTTCCCATCTCCCATGTTATGAGCTTTGCCTGTGTGGGATTTCGGCCCCGTGGACTCTTAGTCGCGTCTCCGGAGCTGCTGCTGAACTGCCTTTCACCCCCAAAACTCCGTGTCTCAGACCCCCTTGTCAGGGCGAGCACGTGAGCCTCGGCCGGCACTCTGGGACTTGTCACACTAATCTCTTTAAATGTTATTGTGGTAACCCGGGTTGCCTTACAGATATCTAAAGCACATTGCTTCATATTTTCTTTTTGTCCTGAACCTTTTGGCCGGGCAATTTTTTCACGTTAGCCCTCAGCGAGAATATTTCTTGTTAAAGAGGCCCCCGCATTACATAATGGGTGAACCAGTGTAGATATCGGTAATGTTGTCCCACATCTGGCATGGACATGGGGGGAGCAGGGGGGGGGGAGGATTCGAGAAAAGGAGAAGAAGGCCTCGGAGGTCCTGGAGTCTATCTGAAAAATATAATTCCTCTCCTATTATCTGTCCCTCCAGTGCAATCCCACACCGGGCAGCTGCGATCACACATCCATCAAACAGAGTCACCACGGGGGGGCTCAGAGACGCATGACTTCAGCCTCAGTTCAAGTTTAGAGAGACACATTTCCCTTAGGACCCCCCCCCCCCCCCCCACCGAATTAGCCCCAGCCTCAGAGTCCTCAGCCTGTGACAGAAGACGTACGGTCCGAGCCACCGCCGTCATTCCCGGCGTGTTAATTCCCTGGGTTTTTGGGGTCCATTAACACACCGTATTATTTAACGTTTACATATTCGTAAAGGATTTGAACTTCTTCCATCTGGAGCCGGAGAATCATCATAAGCCGCGCGACACAAACCAGACGCAGCACAGCGGCTGTTCCGCGATTGTTTTTACAGGCCGAGTCTGGAAGAGTTGCACTGTGTGTTGATCAGACCCCGTTATGAGTGCAGACCAGGGGGCTTCTGTATTTTGCTGTTATCTGGCATTCTATTGTTGTTATTATTATTGGTTAGTACCTGATATTAATGTTGTGTTACCAGGTTAGAGTTGATAGATTAATAATAGTTAGATTATGTTATTAATTGAACAGACTTTTATTATTTGTCTTTACACGCATCTGTATTTTATCCACTTTGATACAAATTATTCATTAGAAATCACCATAGTTTAAAGGTATTTGTAAATCAAGAGAGACGGGAGTTGTGGGTGATAGACGGACTGTGAAATTGGACCCTGAAGGAACAGAACGCCAGGCGGCTCGTAGGACAGATACGCAGGTTTTAGGGTCGCTCGAAATGTAGACACGCGTTTCTTGTGTTTTTATCATTTGTCACGAAAGGAAATGTCGGGTGTGATTTATGACGAGGTCCGAATTTCATGATTGTGTTACGCCCAATTCATCAAGCGGATCACGAGAGCAGGTGGCTGTAATCGGCTGACTTGGTGATACAAAATATAGTTTTTTTTTTTTTACAAAACCCCCAGTGTGCGTGTGTGCGTGTGTGCGTGTGTGTGTGTGTGTGTTACTGGGAGACATAATCACAGTCAAACTCTTTTTTTGCCATTTTGTAGTTTCTTTACATCGAACCTGACCAAACGAATAACTCCTCCTCAGTGAGATGACGGAGCGTCCTGGTATTCTGTGTGACAGCAAGTAGAGTTTTTTCTTTTTATTTTGGAGAAAGAGAAGTGGTACCAGATGTGATCGGGTTACTTCACAGCTCGGCCAGTTTGCGCCGCGCGGGCGAGATCATTTGTCTTCAATTACGGGCTCTTTCTTCTCACATCAGTCATGTGGCCCAACACTTGTTGCGCTTGAGTCGATGTGATTCTTCTCACTGAGCTGTTGTGTAGACGAGCCCACGGGAGGAAATGTCATAATAATCAACCACAGGAGATCATTTAAAGGATTCATTTTGTCATTTTGTTGTCCTTCTCAATTAGGCTTGAAGGACAGTAAATATGTTTTATATTTTACCCTTATTAACGCAGTCATTTGTTTACACAGTGTGTGACATTAAACTTGGTCTTTCTCTGTTGAGCAGTTCAGTCCACAAAACCATCGATCCAGGAATGTGAAAGATATTTTTCTACAAAACGCTACACTTTCTAAAAACCCCAAGGTTTCAAAATCGTGTAGTACGATTGGAGATGACGAAGCAGCTATTGGCTGCAGACGTATCCGCAAATATTTCTGTTTCTGTTGAGACACGCACACCAACTATTTGCTAAAAGCGGGACACTTGTGGTTTGTGTGTTTCGCTGCGTGACCCGCCGAGGAATGTGGGAGCGTGACTGGTTCAGAGTTTGCCCCACAGCCACTACCCCCCCCCCCCCCCCCCCCCCCCCCCCCACACTGAGGCTCCGTCCCGACTCTCTCTCTCCTCCCCCGGCCCCCCACATGTCTGTTTGACCACGCGTGCTCTCGTGTACATGCCGTGTGTGCGTGTGTGAGACACAAGCTGACTTTTTTTCGGGTGTCGGGTGCCTGTTTGGTCAGAAGGTAGTGTTTAAACCCTCATCAGGACTTTCGCTGCAGTAATGGATGTCTCCGGCCCACCTTCCCTCCCTCGACACCCCCTGCACACGTGGAAGTATCACGTTGCCCTTTTACCACTTTCCTTCTCGAGTGCCGCTCACCAGAGCAGCAGACTCCCGATTCGCAGCTAAGAAAACAGCCCGCTTAGTCTGAGGTCTTGGACCTGTGGCCTGGATCGCTCTGCAGCCCGACCCGCCATCGCTGGCTGGCTTTTATTGAAAGCAGGGCTGTGTTTGTTGTCTCACTGCATTGTTGGGAATGGGAGACGGGGGGGGGGGGGGGGGGCACCTTGGTTTACCTTTCGAGTGGGGCCTCTTGGAAGCGTGCCGAAGGAAAATTGCCCTCCGCCCCCATGGATTGGGGAGGGCGCCGAGCGCCAAGACATCACAGCTCGAGGACCTTCGACTCCCGCAGCTTTTATTTCCTTAAACACAAAACCCTTAAGTCCTAACAGCCGAGTGCAGCGGCGCCCGGCTGGAGGGGAGTAAAGGAAGGGGAAAAGGCCCATCTCGTCAGAGAGTCTGACATTTGACAGATTTAAATTATTAACTCAAGCTTCACCTCTACGAGGGTTAAATCCAAGGAAAACACACACTTACAGTCTTTTAGTTTTAAACGTCACTGCTCAGTTTGCTATATAGACCAAATATCTGGTGCTCCTAAAAAACGTTACGCTAGATTGCTGTGCTATCAGATCTTAAAAAGAAATAATTTGTCATCCTGTGTATCAGTCTTTTCAGTGTCGTTCACCTCTTTTAAAACGTAGGCGAGGAAAGTTCTCCTCAAGGTTTTTCTTGTCAGCACTTGGTAGCCAGGGAGCATTTAACGTTATATCTCTGGGTCCATTTCAACGACGGCCGTGTGAATTTGCCGGCAAAATCAGGCGTATTCCCAACAGGCCTTCCTGTAGCTCCCGGCTACTGGCACTTGTCCATCACCTGGAGGACGTCATCCAGGATTGAGGGGCCCAGATCGAGGCTGAAGGAAAAGCCGCTGTCCTCCTCCCTGCGCTGCGCCACAGTTTTGTCTCCGGCGTCGGTGGAGTCCTCGTCCTTGTCTGAATTCAAGCTGCCCCGTCCGAGGCCGTTCGCCGGCACGGGAGCGACTCTGTTCCCGCTCTGGTACCCGTCCACCTTCCCCCCCTCCTCCTCCTCTTCCCCTTCCTCGCCGTCCAGCAGCGGCAGAGAGCTGCACTTCTTCCTCCCCTGGGACGCGGCGGACGGGCGGCGCGAGCGCCGGTCGGGGCTCTCGGCGCCCTCGTCGACGTTCAGCCGGGGCGGCTTCGGCGGCGGCGGCGGCGAGGAGCAGGCCGTGAAGATGTTCTGCTCGCTCTGGGAGCTCTTCAGAAGCATGCCGCGGCCCATCTTCAGGAAGGAGAGGTCGCCGAAGCTGTCGGCGCCGTTGCCGATGTGCGTGATGTGGCGGAAGTCGGCCAGCGGCAGGCTGATCATGTTGACGGACAGCACCTCCCTGCGCTTGGTGGTCCTGCCGGGCCACCGGCTGGAGGAGGGCTTTCTGTGCAGCGAGGTTCGAAGTGGCATCTTGGCAGCTCTGGATGAGATCCACCTAAATGTCTCTCTTTTAATATATATATGAATATATCCTCAGTCGTTGTGTCCTGGACAGTGGACCCTCAGGGAGCGGCGACGCTCACGAGCATAATTCCATCTGCATCAAACACATGAAAGAGAGACGTTACAGTTCAGCCAGTCCACGTCCAACAAGTTCACAACTCTGCACTGCGGCTTCACACGGTTCGCTTTGAACATCGTGCCGTACGCATCGTGCCGTACGCATCGTGCCGTACGCATCGTGCCGTATCAGTCGGCTTCAAGTTAATCGGAGGCCAATGTTCAGGAATTGCACCTGCGCCACTATCTTCTGACTTCAATGGAATTCGACGCATCGCTCGGCAGCAACAGGATGTTCCAACAATCCCTCGAAGCTTTCGTTTTGAAATATTTACTTTTAACAAACCCAGTTTTCCCTCTAATTGCAGGTTAGTCCTCTATCAGCGTTCAGAGGACTTCCAGTAACAAAAGCAACAACAGATCCCATTTCCAAATTCTAATTGTTGCTCTGCATGATATTGAATTATATCTCTTTGCATTTTTGCTTTTGAAAAACAGGAGGTTTTACCGCAACGTCCGTCAGAAATCAGGACGAGTCGACTTCGGAACACGTGTTTGTGATTTTGTGAAAAATACAAATTGCCCTCAGTTTATTTAGCTGCAGAATTATGCAGTGAATCTGGATACGGAAAAAGAGTCAACTATTTTTATTCCATAAATAACACCGTCGGAATTTCAAACTAAGTTATCCGTTTTGTAGTGTAGTCAGGGGATTTCTTTTTTTTTTTGCTACACATTTTACATCCACTTGAGACGCACGAAACAATAACACTTAAAACGGGAGTCTGACTTTGTCAAGGAAACCGTTTTTCATTCCGTGACCAGTAATCATTTTATGGAGTAAAACAGAACTTAGTCAATCAACTCTGGCGCAGCGATTAGATAATCAGCCCAACGTCTGTGACTTTTACGGCCTCTCCAAAACCGCTTCGCCCACATTAGACCCGCGTTCGTGACATGAAACACTCACTCGGATAAATTTGTACGCCACTACAGCAAACAGGTTTAGTTCGCCCATAAAGGTTTTATCGGCGCTTTTGGTAGCAGCGGGAGGTCGGATAGCGTGGACACAACAGCATTCCTTTCCAGACATGTCAGTTTGGGCCGCGGAGGAGTCTCAGGAACTCGGGCCGTTAACATCGCGTTCGGGAAACACTTTGTCTCTGAGTATAAACTAAAAAAGAAGCCCATTAAAACACATTGGCCACGAAACGATTTTTCGATGATTTCTCCCCCCGAATGCTGCAACTAACGATCCATCCCTGAAACAGATGAGGAATTTGCCCGATGAAAAGTCAACCACTATTTAAATGCAATTAGCAAAAGTCTTTCCTTCTAGCAGCCGTTTGTTCAGTCGAATAAAAACAACAACAACAACAACCCCAATACAGACTATGAGTTCTTACCCGTCGCGCTGATCGAACGCAGGCACACACGTCTCTGTCGGCACCTAAGCAGCGTCTACCTGCCACAAAGGGCTCCTCGTGGACGTGACGGGGCTTGTTCAACGGTTACATCGCCCATCCTTCGGCTACAGAAACTTTTAATCGCCGCGCGTGACTCTGCCGGGTGTTTCTCACCGTGGAGTGCGTTCCGTCCTGAGACCTTTGATCCCTCTGTTTTCTGCTGTGTCTTATCTGGGTGAACTACACCTTCCTTTTGTGTTTCTCTCTCTTTTTTTTTTTTTTTTTTTACAGAGCTTGCAAGGTGTGTCGCACAAGCGATAAGCCAGGTGAGGTCGGAGTACACGAACTTCAAGACATCCAGGGGGGAGGGAGGGAGGGGGGGTGGCTTATCTCCCTCTCATTGGTTTCCTCACTCCACGTTCGCAGTCATCCCACCTTTTTATTTGAAATGCGCATGATGTCATCCTGCCACCACCCGTGGGAAAGTGGGTGCCAGGAGCGGATGATAGAATTTCCCCCTGGTGACTGTACCGCAGGTTGTGCGTGCGTGAGAGTGCGTTCCACCGGTTGTGCGCTCGTGTCGCGTCTAGAAGGAGAAGTCTAAGTCGGTCGGGGGAGGGGAGAAGGGGGGGGGGGTTAACGGATCTCTAAACTCGCCAATTTCCTTATTTTCTGCCTGCTGTTGGCGTGTTAAAGCCCCGGAGTGGAGCGCACCCCCACCCACACAGGCCCTTCTGCCTGACTGGATGCCTCTCTATGGCTTCTCTGTGCAATCAAAGCGCAGACATGCAAGTACAAGCACGTCGGGTTGCACAAGGAAGGTAACTTGTTGCCTTTCCACTTCTCACGCCTCCAGCGTGTTGTCTTTGCCTTTTGGAGACGTTAAATCAACACAGGAATGGAAACCGTTCCAACAGCAGAGCTTTTTTACTGCTCTATGGAACACACACACACACACACACACAGTCATTTTTCACAGTTTGCTTGTCTTATGGTCCTTTTTGTTTTAACCGCATAAGAGCTGTGTCCCTTTTTTTTTTTTTGTTTTAAACCGAATACGTGAAGCTGAACGTGGCGTCCGAGTGTCCCAGCGAACGCGTCGCTGCAGCAGAAACGAGGTCACAGCTGTGGATCCGTCTGTTAATGCTCCTCGTCGTTCCTTCACCTTGAACCAGCGGGGTGTGAATGAAACGGACCAATCGTATTTCTCGCCGCTCTTTTTCATATTGATCCAATTTAAAATAAAAAGGGCGCGCCGCCTGGTCCTCCCTCGTTCTCGCAGCGCTCCGCGAGACCAGACACAATTACTCACGCAAATGAAATGATCAAAACAAAACATTTACTCCGGACTGAAACGGAACATTTCTGAACATTTCTCTTCTTTTAGAAGCCCCCTCCTTCTTCCACGAGAGCCACGGAACCGCTTGGGCAGATGACTATATCTGCCGCATTGGCGTGACCTCCGTTGACCTTGTGTCTGACCCCGGGCCGGCTCGCTCTTTGGTCGTCGTGCTGTGCAGCCGCTGCATGAACTTCTTTTCGAAGGCCGGGCGGTTTGGTTCGATGCAGCTTTGCCGGGGCCTGAAATCGGGGACGCTGCGTGATTTAGTTGCTCCGTTATAAAAAGTGTTTCCAGATATTGCTTTGACTGGCGCTTTGAGCCCCAACTTGGGGCGTATTGAGGATATTCTCCTGGTCTTTTTGTTGTGTGTTCTCCAGTTCTCAGACTGCTGCCATTTTAGATTAGATTCACAGCAACAACAAACTTTTTATGTGAATCCTTCATTTTTTTTTTGTGTTGCTTTGAAACCAAACTCTCCGTGCGTGAAGCCGGTTTCCAGGAGATGCTCTTTAGTAATCTGCTCTGGAGAATTCCCGGTGAGAACATCCCAGTTCGCGCCGGCCGCGATGACTGTTTGTCTGCAGCGTCTCTTTACGACGCGGTGATGAGCTTCTGGAATGCGCTTCAACGGGAGGAATTTAGCCGCATGACGGCCTGGTGACGGGTATGAATAGGCCGGATGATCGATGACGACACGTCCCCATGAGGTAATGCAGGTCGATGCCTCATGCTGTAACGACACTGTGGTGCCTCTTATGCGCTGTGAGCCATTTACAGATGAAATCGATACACTTGATCATATGGGGAATCTATTCTGCTGCAGATGTAAACTAACTACCATTGAGGAGTTCCGTTTCTTATGTTACAACCTGGTCATCCTCATCCATCAACTTTTATTGTGGTCCTGTGTCGATCTCCGCAGACTCATAAAAGGTCTCCCGTTTATTTCTTTCCAGGATTTACATATGCATAACTCGTTGCATTCCGTTTCTTTCCAGTTAACGTGGGCGGTCGGCGACTGCCGGGAATGTTCCGCCGTGTCTCCGGCCACTGAAGCGTTAGGGCATCATTAAATGATAGATGTGATATTTAGATTTCTTTGAACACTGGAGATGTGATGTAAACCGTAGATAGCAGGATGCATTCTTTCTTCTTGTTTTGACCTCTCCGAGGTTCAGACTGTGGCTTGTGTTCTAATGGGGATTCTTATGCAATCCGATGGATTTTCCGGGAGGTGAAAGACATCATTTTGCTTTTACAACGCTGTATTGTTGGCTATGGAAGGGGCCAAACCCCCACATCGCCCGCGCTCATCCATCATAACGAGGAACGCCAGGGCACCGGGAGTTCAGGTCTCCGCTGCCATTCCTCTTCTCACTGTTTGTTTCCTTAACTTTAACACTTTCCAAAGAACCTCCTCCGTTTCCCTCAGACAGGCTTCTCTCCTGTCGAATACCGTGACCACGCACAACCACACGCGCACACACACACACACAGTACCTCACATGCACGGCTGCCTTTCCCCCTCCTTCACTTTGCCTTTTCATTGTTCTTAGTCGGCAGACAACGGCGGGTGGACCGGCCCAGGTGGAATGCGGGACGACACGAGATAACGAAGGAGGGTGGAATTTACGAGTGAGCGGTCCTGAGAGGAGTGACAGGCAGTTTGTGTGAGATTAAAGCACAGGCCTACGCGCGCAGAATAATAGTCCTCCTCGCTGAACCGACGCGGCAGCTTCCTTCCCACCGGATTGAGATCTTTTGACGCCAGCTCGAGTCTGTGATTTCGACTCTTACATTCTCGGCGGTGTTCTACGTGCAGCGAATGTCATTCCAATCGTCGTCCGAAGGACGGCCGTAAATTCTGCAGCTTGCACCTGCACCAGTTGTCACGGTCAGTGATATAATCACAGAGACATTCTGTTTGGACGAATACTGGCCCATCATTTGGCCTTTATATCCAATAAAACAACGTCCAATTCCAAAGCCAGATGTTTGCAGTACACGTGCATTGACGGGGTTAAACACAGGAAGTAGATATTGGCCTAATGTCTGTGTTGTGCTTGTCCTTCACTACCAAAAACAGCCCAATGGAGCCTTCAGGGTTTCATGTCTTAAAGTGAATGATGATTACAAAGCTTGAGTTTTCTCTGCAGAGGAATTTGACCTTGGCCACAGTGGTGCAGAACCCCTGCATGTTTGTTTGAGTTAGCAGGAGCGCTAACACACACACACACACACACACACACACACACACACACACACACACACACACAGAAGAGGGACGTCTACATAGGGTCTTCACCTCTCATAAATCACTTTCTCCAGAGCTCTGTGACACACCATATAAACGCACACCAGGGCCACACACACACACACACACACGCTGTGGATTATTTTTACCTTGATTAACTTCACCAGAGTGCATTAGGGGCAGAAATGTGAGAGCAGGCTTGTTAAGGATAATCCATTTTCTCTCTTGGCAGTAGAGTCCCTCCTTGGCTCGGTGGCCGCCTCGTTAGGCACATCTGAAGGCCCGCGGGTGTCGCTGAGTCATCCGGTTATCATCGCCGAACGCTCAGGCTGCACGACGAAGCCGCCGAACGCACGAAACGGTTGTCGGGTGGAAGGATATCAAACTAAACACGTGTTGTTTTTCAGTTACTGAAGTGATGAAGTCCGGCCCGCGGGCATTGTTGAAGGAAGCGTTGAGGTGGATGACCCAAAGCAGAAGTTGACCACTCGCGGCTTCCTCTTTTATCGGGGTGGGTGTGTGTGTGTCACTCTCTCTCTCTTTGTCACTCGTCAACCAAACCTCAGCAGAGAGGCAGAAAGAAGTGTTGCTTTTCTTTCCTCGCTTCTTGTGCGTCCTCTTTCTGGCAGTGAGGTTTTTCCATTCGGCGCGTCGGTGGAGCACAGAAACAAAGGGCGGCGATGTCCGCCTGTAGTCCTGGATGCATATGGGAGACATTATGTGGGGAAACTGAACTGATGGATGGAGACCAGCGAGAGACACTGGGTGGTTGGACCAGTACTTGTGAAGAATACGCCGCGGTCACAACACACAGCAGTAAATCGCATGTGCCGTGGAGCACTGAAGTGTGTCGGAGGCTCAAGGAGGTCCAGCATCCGACCACGACACTTGTCTGCATGTTTCCTCCCATCTCTAAAGAGTAAGAAATCCCCTCTTTTGCTCGTGATAATTTACGGGGGGGAAATGCATTTTCTTTAATTTGTTTGGCAAAGGGAAGCAGCAAGATGCCTCCTGCTGTGTGTGGGAAGGAGAGCGAGAGTGTGTGTGTGTGTGTGTGTTACACGCAGGTGGTACTCATGATGTCATTACTGGCCTGATGTCAGGCTGGCTGCGCTGATTGGAGGCTTAGCCATGTGCAGGTGTCCCATAGCTAACGCTACATGTTATCAGCTTGTTTGTGTGTTTTTTTTACTACCATCCTGCCTCTGCGGTGGCGTTGTGTGGAGGCCTGTTGTTTTTGTTCTGTGGTTTCCCACTCACCCCCCCCGGCCCAAGGCGCTCACGCACTCGCACACAAGCAAGTGTTACAGAGTGATGCACTTGCTAAACACGTTCATTTGTCAGTTAACACCCCAGGCCAGGAAACATCTCTGCTCCTGGGAAGGAATGTGTCACACTGCCACAAAGCACCTGTTGATGCTCAGAATGCCCCTGCACCATTAGCACCAGTAGCACCATTAGCACCAGTAGCCTGGTCCAGTCAGTCCTTGACCGCACCGAGAGTCCGTCAGACCCCCTTCCTCACTTGCACTTCAGGGTCGTGGCCAGAAGAGGGCAGGCAGGAGTGAAGGTACGCTTGACCCGGCTTGCTTTCTTGTTTTTGCTTTAATTTGAGGATGCAAGAGTTGTTTATTTACTTTAATGGCGTTTGCGTGATATTTCGGAGTTACGTGTCTGACGAGGGCTTGAGCTCACGTCGCTGGAATGATAATAGCAGCTTTCCTCAATCCAGGGCTGGAGGGGGGAGTAACTTCCCCTCAGCGACCTTCTCTTCTTCCTTCATACGAAACCCTCCTTTCCTTTTAGCACACGGATGCTGGAGTCCCCCGTGATGTATTCCAGATGCTCAGCGAGCGCGCTGACAAAAATCAACCTCTCCTCCTCCGCTTGCTCTCACTGCATACACAAAAACACACACACGCACACACACACATTCGCTGTCTCGCTTACTGTCTTGTTAAAGAGACACTTCTTTGGCTCAGCAGACTTCCTTTTGAAACAATGGCTTACTCTGTGGGCACGCGGCCCCCCCCCCCGCCCCTTCGTTTAAAACTGGATCTGTGGGACGGTCTGTGGGAGTTGGTTGTGAGTGTGTTACGGCCTCATCATTAGGTGCGTATTATAAATCAAAAACGTGTCTCCTTGGTTCCTTAGAGGATGTGTGTGGCATTGTGACCTGTGTGTGTGTGTGTGTGTGTGTGTGTGTGAGAGAGACGTCTGTGTTCTATTCTGCCTGATTAGCCACTAACCAGTGGCGGCCCTCTCCGATTCCCTCCCCCACCCCCCCTCCCTCCTCCCGCCAGCCCTGATTTTGGGGTTTAATGACCTCAGTCAGCGGAATTACGCTGTCACAGTTGCTCTGCGGGCGGCCGTCTCATCTGCGCCCACGCGGCCGTCACGCCGATGGTAACTGAGATGAGGGCCCCCTTCCCACTCCCCCCCCCCCCCCCCCCCCCATCTCTGTCGTGAAAGCAAACACACGGCGGACGGTGACCGCGATGTCAGCGCCTCCGCACGCCGCCCGGGTCGATGTTGTCATGATGTTAAATGCAGGCGAGTTGGACGTTTCTACGAGTCCCCTCCAGCGCAGCAGCTCAGTAGTTCTTTGAATGTTGATGAAAGGGGCCTTATCTGATCACCGATGTCTTGTCGTTGTAAAATGTGTCTCTGCACAAGGCGAGACGTGACGGATTTATCGCTTAGCAAAAGAGTACAAAATGTTCTGCTGCTTCAAATTCTCTATTTCTGTACTGTTTGTAAACCTCTGGTTGTGTCTGTGTTAACGGTGACTAACTTACTAACAATAACACCTCTGCGCCGCCTTGTCTCTCTCGCCCACAGGGCGCCATGTCCAACGAGCGCGACTACGAGAGCGTGGTGATGATGAGGATGCGGCAGGCCGCCGAGCGCCAGAAGCTCATAGAACAGATGCAGAGGGAAGATGACGAGGAGGCTGCCGGCTCGTAGCACAGCAACCCGCCCGGGTACCAGCCTGCACCTGCTGGATGAATACCGCTCTCAGGCTTTAGTTTCATAAAGTCTCTTATGCGCTTCAGTCATTTTCCTTTTTTTTTTTTTTTTAATGCCGCAAAATAAATCTTTTTATCAACTATGAAAATGCCGCTGTGGTTTTAATCGTTTTGTCGTCTTTTGCTTTTATTGAGAACGCAGGATGAGTGCGGGAGACGCAGAGTAGGGAAGAAGGCTCCTGCAGTGTGGAGAGGGAGGTACAATCATCTAGTGCAACAATTGCGTGTCAGTGCGTGGAGGCCAGTATTTCTACAACTTAATTCCAGATTGCATGTTTATTTACTGTACGTTTCAGATGTATATGAAATTTATTCTGATTTCTTTTAATACGTATTTCTGATTTCTTTAATACTCGTAGTTTAATGATCAGAAATGTAATTTCAATTTATCTGATTCAATGTCCTCACTCATTTTGTTATTTTTTAGGGGGGGGGCGACTTTCCCCACCAAAGTGTTTCAGTCTAACATGCGTAACCCCAGCGTTTGTCCCGTAGGATTCCGTCACGTGCCGCGGACCCATTTAAATAATACCAAAAGGCTACTCTCTTCAGTCAGGCTATTATTCTAAGCTGTTTTCCAATAGGTCCCATGTAACAGATGCCTAGAAGACTCTTATTTACGCTCCCTGAAGAGCCAGGCTACCGCTGTGTGACCCCCACTAAGCCAGGCGGCACCCTGCCAGAAGGTTGTGGTCGCTGTTTTTCTGTTTAGTAGCAGCGTCTTCTGCCCGTGGAACATCGAGACATCCGAATAGTCGTATTTTCCTGCCCCTCGGGGGGGGGGGGGGGGACTATGGCGTAACCCTGGGCCTGTGTTTCTCCTGTCATCCCGTTCAGGGGGTCGCACGGGAGCTCCGCAACATCCGACCCGGCCGTCCCCCCTCCCGCCGCCGCCTCGCCGTGACTCTGTTACACAACGTCCAGCTGTGGAGCGCAGTGGTGCGAGACATCTGCTCCTCTCCTCATCATATGGTTTTGGTTTTATGAATAGCCGTTTTTTTTTTCTTTTGCTTCCTTTGAATCCAGGAACACACAAACTGTGTCCAAATGACAACAGAAGGAATACAACTGCAGGGAAGACACTCACCAGTAACCCCGCTGTGACCCTGGAGCAGCTTCTTCTGCCCGGTCAAAACCCGTCGGGCCTTTGGACTCGTGGCCCCCTGTCAGGTGCCCTCGGGCCTCAAGTACACAATCAATACACATCGTTCGATCGTTTAATCAGGACTGAATTTACAGACGTGCCTTTGAGTTTGACTGGAAATCCGACTCATCGATGCCACTCGGTCACCACTGGCAAATGGCAAACAATATGTGCGAAGGGCCCAATAAAAAGCCGTGGAATGTTGGTGTTCCCTGAAATTGGAGCTAATCTGAAACGTTAAATTGGGGATTATCTCAATTCTAGAGACAAAGGGTTTATTCTGCCGCCGCCAAAGGTCGACGGAGTTCTTCAAACGTGGCTCATTCGCCTGTTTTAAAGGCGTCTCGGGACGTCTCGACGCTGTCGACGCGCTCGCTCCGTCACTCCGTCTCCTTGTGGAGGCACCACACCAGCGTCTGCCCCACCCCCGTCATCGTCAGCACGCGGAAGCCGATCTTCTCCAGCTTGTCCAGCACCAGGCGGGGCGGGTCGTCCACGTGGTACTCGGAACTAAGTGGGCATAAAACACAAAAGTCACTCCACCGTCCACGGATGTGGGATTCCTGTGCGCGCGTGTTTCGGAGAGTCCGAATGCCGTTGATTTGTTTTCCGGTGCTCGTTCACTTCCTTCCACACCTCGGGTTCATTTCCCAGCAGCGTGTGACTCAATGATCCGTGTTGCCTCAGCTTGAATGGTTTGTTCTAACGCTGCGTCAGCGCATCCGATCAGATGTGTCTCCATTTGCAATACTCACAAATTGTTCCCCAGCATGGTCGTTTTCCTCGCTCCCAGGTAGATCATGAGAGCGGCGTCAGAATATTCATCGCCCACGTTTGTTGGGCCGGTCTCCTGTAAGAAGCAGTGGGGTGCATGAAGTGGGGTTGATGGGGGATATGAGTGCTTGGATGGAACGGCGTGCGCTGCGTGCGCAGCAGCATAATCTCTACTAACTAGACGCACTAAAAATAGATCACCGGACAGCCGGGCTGCGGAATTAGTTGCTCCAGTCGCACGTTCATCTAAAAGGAACGGCTCAACGAGAGGGAGAGAGGCGGAGAGCTGGTGCTTTGGATCAAGGGCACCGAATGAAAAATACGCACGCGTCTGGACTGTTTGTTGTTTCCAGCACGCGGCTCATTGCGCCGCGACGCGCCCTGATCGATTGCTGCCGTGCCAAATAACCAAATCCCCGCATCTCCCACTGGAGCGCGCCTCTTTATAATAAACAAATATATATTTAAAAAAAAAGGAAAAGCGCGACGCGCACGAGCTCGTGGCGGACGCGGGATACACACCAGTCGGATCTGCGTGCTGACGAACACGTAAGGCATCTCTGCTGCGGCCTGGCGACGCACCGCTATTCCTCTGGGGAAACCTCTGCACAGAAGGCGACGGTCCCCCGGTCTCCGCTGCGCGCTCCTGTCCACGCAGCGCCCCCCCCCCCCCCCCCTCCTCCTACTCTCCCCCCTACTCTCCCCCCTCCCCCGGAATGTGGAAACACCCACCGAGACGCGCCAATGGTTGTTTTGGGCGCAGCAAACACTGGACCCGGGGGGTTTTTGTTCAATGTGAGGTGGTCACAGAGACCCCCCCCCCCCCCCCTCCCATCAATAATAGTAATTTAAAGCCTGCTGGCAAACCAAGTCCCCTCAGTTCTCTCCGGTCCCACAATCAGTGCTGAAGAAGGATACAATGTTTTATCTGATCATATAAAACACAGTTTACTGTCATAACAGTGGCACAGCCTGTCATCTGTTGGATTTGTGGGGGGGTGAGCAGGTGCTGGGGGAGGATTGCTGAGAAGAAGATGCCACCTACTGGCTTCCAGGATAACTGTCACCTTGTTTGTGCAGGTTGTCTTGATATGAGTTATTGTCTCCACATAACTGTCACATAACCGCTTTTCCCTTTTGGGATACGGTGCCGTTTTGATCGACAAGCTTCTGTTTATGCCTCTCGGTGGTCTGATACATCAATGAGCTTCCATTTGAATCCTTCGTGGGCTTTTTTTTTTACTGCCCCCCCCCCCGGAATGTTTCTTTTCTGTCCCCCGCTAACCTGCGACCCAGTTCAGCAAAGAAAACAGGAAAGCAGCGGGATCGCCGCCAAGGCCGCCCCCCCAAAAAATAAACCAAAGAAACCGTCTCTCCAAACATGTTCCTACCTGAGCCACTTCCTGGACTCCAGCCGTGACTTCCTGCTCCGGCTCATCTGCTGCTGGTTATGGGAGTGCGGGGTCACCTCCTGTGTGACCTCCGGTGACAGTGCAGCGCCTCCCCAGCGGGGTCCGATCGTTTCATGGGGCCGTTTCCGTCAAATGAGCCAGAATAAAGAAATAAAACCTCTTTCATTGTGCCACAGTCATGAAAATGTAAACACCGCAGCAGCTGTTAATCTGCCACTTTTACGGCACGGCCCGTAAAAAAGTCACAAATAGCAAAATCCTCTCTAAAAACTATTGGACGTCATGATTATTGAAAAGAAAGCACATCCTGCAACTATATCATATATATATATATATATATATATATTATTTATATATATATTATATTATATATATTATATTATATATATTATTTATATATATTATATATATATATATTATATATATTTATATTATATATATTTATATTATATATAATATATATATATAATATTCCCTGTTGTAACCGTAAACGCAAAAGGTGAAAAATCATCAAGATCTCTTCGACATGTGGTGTTCATTTAAAAATAGAAACACAAATCATTGTCAGAGGCCTCGCACGTCGCAGACACAACATTAGGTTCCCTCTGATAAATGTGTCTGCTGGATTCACTCCACTGTGCGTGTGTGCAGCTGAAGACCTGCACAGGAATCGCTTGGCGAGAACTGATTCATTTCTGCAGCATGCGGCGTGTGTGTGTGTGTGTGTGTGTGTGTGTGTGTGTGCGTGCACCATGATTTACTACAGGTGTGTACTTCTATTCCATAATCCAGCGTGGGGATTTGAGCTGTGGGAGAGCAGGGAGCCCTCTGATAGATTGGGTGTTGGGTGTTACACTCCGCGTACGTTTACATCCGCTTTATTGTGACGAATCGCCGTCGGGGCCCCCCGAGTTTCTTCCTCAGGCTTTTGCACTCATGCGTCTGTGTGTGTGTCCGTGACGTGCGTGTGAAGTGCGTGTTTCCCCCCCCCCGTTTTCCCAGATTGCATCCAGCATCCGCTCGTTGTCTCCTCTTTCTCACCCGTCCTCACCTCTCGCCCCGTCTCCTTTGCACCGCTGGCTCCGGGAATAAAAAGCGCCCGACGTTGCTGCACGTGCGCCAGGCGGCGTGTGTGTGTGTGTGTTGTGGTTTCAGTGGTCGTGCGTGTCGTTTAGGGAGACTTTCTCTCAGTGATTAGGAATAATGTCAGCAGGGGGTTTCTTTCCCTCTCATCACCCGGATTTAGATGTTTTTGTGCGCTTCCATGCGGGAGTGATTGGACAATCATCAGCAGGAAACAACAGGATGCATAATAAACACAGAGGGCAGATTTAGCACTTGAATCCATAGAGCCCAGTTTGTTGTTCAGCATTCCTCATCTGTGTTTCGTCGTGGGGATTTTGACCACAGCAATGTTCGTTTGGGAGACAAATCTTTCTCTGGATGTTTTAGTTGGACAGAGATAAATAGACACAGCAATTATCCTCTTTGTCAAATGTGAATTACTTTGTCCCAGGATTCATCTCCGTCTCTTCCAGAAAGCTGAAGGGGAAGAAAATGTTCCTTTGGGATTTATTAGCAAATCGGTGGCTATAAATTTATGGCTTTTCATTTTGTTTTGTTCAGACATCAGGCGTCCGGCCCGACGAATGATTCAAGTCCACAAACAGACGTTATTTTCATGCTCAGTTCTTTTGAAATCGTCTGGGCTTCCTCCCTTTTTTTTACAGACCCCGGCCTCCCCACCACTTTTCAGCTCACTCATTACGTTTTATTTCCCGCTATTACCAGATCATAAAAGTATTTATTGCCGACTCTCCTCCAAAATCAAACACTTGTTTGAATATCATGAAATTAGAATGTCAATACTTTAAGCTTTCTTAAGGTTTAATGTTATAACAGTCAATTATAGCTTAAATGTTGTGCATCTTAAAGTAGTTAAATAAAACTTTTCACTTTTTACTGTGGTTATGTCCGAGGTATTAGCTGGGCTCTAGTGGCTTTCAATGCACTTTCTTTTTTAAATGATCATCATTAAAACTTGACTTACACACACACACAACCACAGTGAATCGTCCTGATCTGGACGGGCTTCATTAACCATCACGGTACGTCTGTAAAAGTAATGTAGAAGTCCGATTGTACGCAGAGAGCCAGGAATGGCGTCCCGGATGCACACCGCCAGGAGTCACACGTGTGGTTATTGTCCCGTTTTGCAATCACATGACCGCCGCCGCCGCCCCCTCACCGCTCGCCGTGAATGGCTGCCCGTAGAAAAACCGCCAGGACGCCGAGGCTTGGCAGGAAGGGACGGGACAGCTTGACTTTGTTCAACGCGAAACAACAACAGGGAATTCGGGGAAGTTGATTTTAAGAGGAAAACTCGAACCACATCGTGGTGCAAGCGTGTGCTGTGATGAAATCTGCAAAAAAAGCAGCGGCTGAATACCGTAGAGGGTGATATAAAAATGATATTCCTGTCTTTTTCTTCACCTCTTTCTTATGAATGACTGCTGGCGATCCCCTGCTCGCTCTGCTATCTGATGCTGAAGTGTTTGTGATTTATTAGGGCCGTTAAATCTGCGGCGGGCGGCTACAGAAGCAGACATGACGTCCCCGTTCCAAGGCCTCACATTGGTTTCCATTAATAAATCAGGAGATCCTTGAAACAAAGAGCGCGGGCGGCTGCTAAATATCCGGTTTGGGAAAGGACGGTATTAACAGAATATCCAGGTGCAAAAGGGGGCTTTGACATCGCGACCCGCAAGTCGACAGCGTGCTGGCGGACAAAAGGGGGCAACTCGGATAGGGAGTCCATCATGGGACTCATCAGCTTATTCATGCAGGACGACGTTAGAATACCAGGCGGCGGTGGGATTGTCGCGTTGGGACCCGGGTTTCTGGGTTTTGAAGGTACGTCCCGACGGGCTCCGCCATCGTGAGTAGCTGAGTGGGAAGTGGAAACGTTGAGGGTTTACAAGATGGCGGCTGGCCTCGTGGGCGGAGAGTCCCTCCAACGCCGTGCGGTCGGGGCGGTCGCCGCGTTCCCAGACTGACACTTATCTAATTCTCAATGTGCGGCTTCGTCATGAAGCTTCAGCCAAAGCCGAGGGGTCACGGGGGGGGGGAGACATGGACACCCACACGGCTGCACACGCACACAGAGTGCTATTTATATTTTCACCCTATGGGCCTCTTGCATTAAAGTGAGCGGAAGGTTGAGTAATGAGGCTTAACATCTAATCCAGACCTCCCTCGCTTATCTTTTCACTGCTCCTACCGCTTCTAGGAAAACTCTGGGTAATTCTTAGGAACTCCCCTTTTTTCAGCTTGGACCAAATTGCAATCCACACAAGTCACATCCTCCTCAACCCCCGATCAGCACTCCCATGTTGGTGGGTCCCTTTGGGATGCTGGGACGTCCCACGTGGAGCTCTGCACTCTCATGCAAACATTGAATCCTATACAACTTGATATTTTGTGGGTGGATGAGGGCGAGGGGGCTTCTCTGAGGGGTGGGTTTGGTCAAAGCACCGCCGTGGAAGCAGGGAGAGGAGGCCCTTCCTCTGCCTCGCTGGTCTCTAGTAGTATTTAGTACGTTAAACTCAGGATTCTGCAAAGAAGAAAAAGCTAAATCGTCATAAACAGGCCGAACCCCTTGGCCCCCGCTGACACGTATATATGTTAACATATTGGTTTTAGAAGGTCCTCCTGCTTGGTTTTTAGACACGATAGAACCCGAAAATAAGAACGATTGATGTCAAAATCTACCACCGTATGTCAGTGGCTGTATTTCTGCTCTTGTGAATCCACAATTGACTTCTGGCGCTAGTCGTCATTAGTGTGAAGACCAGTGCGAGGCATCGAGTCATCGATCCCCTGCGTGCCGAGTGCTCCTGTGCTCTTCCATGAAAGACGACTTAGTCCTTGAGCGGTTGAACTGTTGACTCAGAACCACAGAGACACCCCCCCCCCCCCCCCCTCTCTCCATGTCCTGCCATCTCCTCCCTCCTGTCAGGTTGCCTTGCGGGCTGCTCCCCGTCTTCCCCTCCGTCTCGGTGTGGCTGCTTCTTATTCCCCGGCCTAATGATTCATTTCCCCGAGACGCAGTGAGAAAATCCTGCACGAGTCTCATTTGCTCTCTTTGCTGTGTGGTTGGAGCAGCGTGTGCACACATGTGGATGCAACTGGTCACGCACACACACACACACACACACACACACACACGCGCGCACACAAACCGATGCAACCTG